AAAGAATGGACTTGCAAAGCTTTTACGAGATGTCAAACGTAAATGTCGCAAGGCGAAGAAGACTGCAAATGGAACTCAGCAGTACATCACTCCTGGGATGATGACGCGAGTATTAGACTCCGACGAAGTGAACAAGTCGCCTATGTCGCCCGTTCGATTTGTGCGTTGGATCAACGTCCCGTTTTTTCATTTAAAAAAGTATTCGTCTGAGGTCCAACTTCACACAACCTGCCCAGCTCTTACTCTGATGCAAGCCAACTTTTCACAACATTCGAGGGCAAGAGACATGCAGCAGGTTGTCCAAGTCCAAGGTGCTCCGGCGGATCACTGCTTCCACATTTCCCAACTGTGGGTCATTGTTGTGAACAATTGTAAGTTCACTTGTCTTTTCTGTCATCGATTCCCACAAACTAGTCTGGGCTTTATGCAACACAAAGTCATGTTTCTTACACTTCCCATAGCTCTGTTGGTGTCTTGTAGCACTCTGTCCGAGCAGGCGCTGCGAAATACCGAGATCGAGACCATAACTCTCCCTCCTAAAGAGACATCGAGCGACAATGGCAAGGCACGAATCATGGTGTCATATCACGACAATGTTATCTGGGCGATTCTGCTGGAGGAGTGTCAAACGTGGTTTGTAAGTGGCGCGACTAGATCTATCCTGGGCAAGGTCAATACTAATGTGTCGAAAGGCATTCATGGTTCACTTTTGGGAGTTCTGGCTGAAGAATATTAGGTTCTACAGGCGAAGAAAACTTCTTACTGCAGATGATTGGCAGCGCTGCTGTAAGTGCAAATACTTACTAACCCTTCTAAGTAAATCTAACTAAAGGGAGGCTATCACTACGCCTAATTAAGTAAGTTTATACCCCTTAATTAACTTAAATACCTTAATTAATTTAGATATTTATAGATCTAACTAATAAGAGGCTATAGATCTAACTATACCCTAGTTATTCCCTTATTTAGAAGTATACTTAACTATTAGATTATACTACTATTACTAATATTACTATAATTATATATTTTAATAATATTCTATAAACTACTCTTAAAATATTAGTTTTTAAATAATACTCTTAAAAATCTTAGGGATTATAGAGGGTATTAAAGTAGTTTAAATAATATATAGAGTATTATAATTAGCTATTAATAGTAAAAGTTATTTATTACTTTAGATTATCTTTATTATTTTTATATATCTATATATCTCTCTACTTTAAATTAATAATATTAACTATTATTACTACTACCTTTATTGCTAATATATATATATTAATAGGTACTTTATACTTATATATCTTAATATAGATTATAAATACCCTTATTACTATTATACTTATAGCCTTTATAATTAATAACCTATTATAGATTATTACTAATAATAAGAAGTATATATTAGAGTTATAGTTATTAAGGAGGTATAGTTAAAATTAATCTAATTAGATTTAGGATTATAGTGACTTCCTTATTAAAGTTATATAGGGCTAAGTTAATACCTCTTTTTAGAGTTACTAATAATATAATACTAAGGGGTCCTTATAGGTTTTTAGTATTATTACTATATCTACTACCTAAAAGTACTTACTTTAATATATTAATATAAACTTTCTATCTATATAATTTATACTCTAATAAAGCTAAAGTAGTTATAATATCTATAGGATCTCTTCTATATTAAATAAGGATTTTAATAACTTAATACTTCTATTATTAATAATAATATTAGTCTCTCCTCTATATAAAAAAGCCTACCTTATTAACTTAAGTATCTTAAAAACTAAAATTATAACTTTAAAAGACTTTACTATTACTACTATTATCTCTACTAATCTTCTATTTATTTATTTTAAAAATACCTTCCTCTAGTAGATCTTTTAGTACTATAGTATAGAGATTACTAAAGAGGTTCTATAGGACTAAATAGTAATTTAAGATTAGCTTAATAATCTATTTTAGTATAGAGAAGTTCTTATAAAGTTAGAACTTTATATAGTAATTTTAAAGATCTATTTATTATTTAATCTATAGTTATTACTAAATATCTATACTTTTATAGTAGTTACTAGTTATTTTATTAATAGTAATAATATCTTATAGTTCTATTTTTTAGCTTTCTTATAATATTATAGAGATTATAGAGGCTATAGTTTTTTAGAGACCTTTATTAGTATTATTTACTAATATAATATCTAGAACTAAATTAAAGTAATAATCTCTAATAATATTATAAATAATAATATCTACTTTAAGGCTTTCTATTAGAGTATTAACCTTAAGATAATAGAGATAGATATAGAGGCTTAATATATATAGTACTATAGCTATATCCTTAATCTCTTAGCCTAAGCTTTCTTATTTAGTGCTAATAAAGATATATTTAATACTAAGTTAGAGTTCTACTAGTTTATAAACTAATATAATAATAATCTTAAGCTTTAGTACTATATTAAGCTTATAAGCTAGCTTTAGAATATTATTAAGTTTATTTAGGCCTTATTATAATATACTAAAAGGTTCTAAAAAGCTATAGTAGAAGTTAATAATAACTCTAATTTCTAGATCTTCTTAGAGTTATATTAAAAGGCTTAGTTTATACTAAATAATAATACTTAATAGAATAGTATATATTTTATAATTTAAAGGGTTATAATAAAGAAGGTAGAGATTTAAGCTTTTATATTAGTTATTAATAATAATAAGGATATTAAATAGTATATACTAAAAGAGGATCTATTATTAATTAATAACTAGAAAGTTCTTATTAAGATAGGTATAATCCTTAAGCCTTTTTATTACTAAATAAAATAGTATAAGGGATAAGGTGTTAGTAATAAGTATAGTTAACTCTAAGAGGTTATAATAGGTATAAAATACCTTCTCTTATACTTTATTAACTAAAAGGAGTATTATAACTTTATAATCTTACCTCTAGTTAATAATAATAATTAAGGTGAATCCTAGTAGTTATAAAACTCTTAGAGGTAGTTAGGATACCTATATTATTATTAGTATAATACTTATACCCTACCTTAGTATATATAAGAAAACTAAGTATTATTAGCCTTATAATCTACTTCTTAATTTAATACTCTTAATAAGAGATAATAGACCTTCCTCTATAATAGTATTAAATAAGTATAGTAAAAGCTCTAGTTATATTATAATAAGTTAGAGGTATTACTATTATTTTCTAGTATAATTATTCTATATCTATTATATAGTATATTATACTTAAGAGATATATAGAATAATAACTACTAATAAGAATAAGTTAATAAAGCTCTCTTAAGCCTTATAGACTACTTTAATAAGTAATATTATTAAACTAATACTAATAAGAGTTTTTTAGCTAACTTACTAGATAGTATATAAGCTAGATTACTCCTAGTTAATCTTAAGGCCTAAGATAAAGACTATTACTTCTAATAATAGGTTAATAACTAGTACTAGTAGCTACTACCCTAGATAAATAAACTTAATCTCTACCTCTATTAATCTCTAGAGGCTATAATAGATCCTATATATTAGTAGAAAGAGTATATAGAGACCTACCTAGACTTATCCTAGTTTATTATTAATATCTTTACTATATTAGTAATAGTAGTAGACTATAAGAAGGTGTTTAGTACTACTAAGTTAAGCTTTATATTATAGAGGTTTATAATAATACTACTTACTATAGAGACTCTCTAATTAATAAAAAACTAGTTAAAGAGAGGGGTTATAATATATTAGAATAGCTTTAAATTAATAGGATTATTATAAACCTTATTATAATATAGTTTTAAGTAGTGATTAAATTATTATACTTATAATATAGCTAATTAATTAAACCCTCGTGAAAAAATCTTATTAATAGTAAGTTTAGGGGTCTAATTTGCTTTAATTGCACTTGCGGCAGCGCTGATGATTGGCCTGATATCGTACGGTCGGCGCGGAGCCCAAGCAGCAAGATAGTTATTCAAGCTGTTTTGAGGTAAGCACCCGAGCTTTGAAGTTTATTGTACTAGTTTGACGATCTTGATACAGGCCATTGCCGAGTGCTCCAGTTAGAGGTGTATTGACGCCTACCTGCCCAATAAAAACGCCTGAGGCGGCACAAGTGAATACGACAGCTTCGAATGATCCGACAGCGCCCTCAGTATCGACAGCGGACAAAATCCTTTCTCACATGAAGAAGAGTCCCGAGAAGGGACAGACGAATCAAATAGAATCGAAAGACCCTGCATTGTCTGCAAAATCAATTCCAGACAAAAGTACTGACGTAGATCCCACAGCACCGTCTCAAGAGCCAGAAACCTTCAGCGTCTTTACCTGGCTGATACCACCTCGAGGAGTTTCCACAGCCACGGCCGTCCAAACAGAGTTAGAACGCCTTGATAAATTCCTCCGCCAACGTACGCGGAATAGGGACAAACAAGCTTACATGCAGTGTCCGGAAGCAACGCAGGATGATATACGATCCTCGCTATTGAACATCTCCCAACATAAGCTCTTTAGCCAGCTAAATGATCAGTCAGACCTGAAAGTTGCACTTGAAGACAGGATCGATATCTTCAACGCTGCGCTCATGGCTTTTGAACTTTTTCTGCCCTTGCGAATTTCTAGTGCTCTGGTAGGAAAGTTTTGGGGGGGCTTGAAGGCTTTACTAGACGTGAGCGCTCTCCCATAAGTTCCTGTTCTATTTGCCAGCTAAGCAAGCTAATCTGGTCATCTTTGTCCCAAAGCGCCCGTGGTGGCCCTCTAATGCCGAGGACAGTCGCACCATCTCGAAGTTCACCAGACGGCAAGAAATAGCAGACGAAAACGTTCCCCAAGTACGGAGGAACTTTAGAGACCTCAGTCGTCAAATTCAGCTTTTCCAACAAATCATGATACACGCACAAGCATCCGATAGAGCCCGCTTTGAACTTCCTCCCCAGCTGTTTCAAGCATGGATATATCTCATTCTCGCCACAATACAAGGCGCTCTAGATCTTGAAACACATCAATCCCACATGGATCAGGCTGCTAGCCTACTAGAGGATGGATTGCGGTTCATTCTCAAGGTCTTCTCGCCATCACCCCTGCTGAAGTGGTCATCCATACTACCAACCGAGATTCTGTCGCAAATCAGCTTAAAGCTCATCAATGACTTAACAGAGGAGCATTTGGATATCACCACTGTCTACTCAGAGTACATTCAGAAACTCGTAAGTGTTTTTCAAAATATCGTACTTGAGAGATCAGTTATTGAGACTCAGACCAGACGAATGAAATAGACACAAAACCAGCTGTGTCCCACCAGGAAACCATTCAGCGGCTTATCACGGAGATTAATGTTATCATTAACGTTTTGAAGCAACAAATCAATGTCTTCCAAGACATAGTACGATATTCTGCACCAGTGTATCAACAGAACCCTCGCGAACGAAGTAATTATCCCGACAGAGAACCAAGTTATCGACTCAGGCCACGGAGTTACTACCCCGACGAGAGAGAACCGAGCTATCGCACCACGCAACGGAGTTACTACCCCGACGAGAGGGAACCGAGTTACCGACCCAGGCCACGGAGTTACTACCCCGACGAGAGAGAACCGAGCTACCGACCCAGGCCACGGAGTGAATACCCAGAGAAAGTGGAAATAGATATCGTTCACAGACGGGCCGACCTTGACGACACAAGGGCTTATCCAGAGTATGGGTACCTCAGAGACCAGAGTGCGGGCCCAAAACTATCCTCGACAGATACCAGAGGCTTCCGAGGGCTCCTGGCTAGTGAGTGCGAAAACGTCATACGCCAGCGGCTGGAAGACTTCATACACTTTCGAGATCAGGTACATGATCTTGGTTTGAGGGTAAGCGAGCTTCTTCTCTAACTTCACAGGCTTGATCTTGGAAATTGATCGGCTCACCATGCTTTGCAGAACCAGAATAAGACACAGACAAGAAAAGACACTCAGGAACAAGCGATTTACGCCTTTACCATAGTTACGATCATATTCTTGCCGCTTAGTACCGTCGCTGGCATCTTCGGCATGAATACAACCGATATTCGAGATATCGAGTATGGTCAGTGGCTGTACTGGGCCACGGCAGTTCCAGTGACTGCCTTGGTAATTTTGGGCGGATTATGGTGGATGGGCGAGCTTGGAAATGCAGTTCTATGGCTACTCAACGTGCGACGGCCCTCGCAGAAGGACTTGAGAAACGTCGAACGCTTTGAGAGCAGAACCGAAAGTTCCGAAGACGATTTACCACCACCCCATGTATATCGTGAGTATCGTGAAAGAATGCTGAGGCGGGGGGTTTAGGACAGCGTGTGAGATCTGTGCTGGCGGAGGTTTCTCTTCTGATCCAAGATTCATAGTCTTTTGACGACGATGCCTTCTTTAGGCATCGGGCAGAAAAATCGGTTTCTTCTTTTCAATGGCTTATCCGGTTTTCTTTTCAGAAAGATTGTCACTTCCTCATGATTTATGAATCCTGTCAGACAGATTACCTTCGCTTTCTGGGATACAAGGAGTATCTTTCTTTGTGTCTCGATTAGCGATGACTATCTCATCGTGGTCGATGAGGTTTGCTGTGAATAACATGCAGATGAGCTAACACGCCAGCAGGCATGACAACATACGTAGAGCTAAGACAAATTTCACACGAGTCAAATGAGGGTTTTCTTCTAACTACCTAGTAGTCAGGCTTCACACGATAGCGAAAAGCAGAAACTGGCGAGACGTGAATGAATTGGAGCCCGCGTTAGCAGTTACATAGTATTGCAGATGATCACATGAGGTCTCGCAATGAGTGAATAAGCTCAATCGAACAGATATTTTGAGCTTGTTTGGGCCGGCCGGTTTCAAGCCGTTGAGGCGAATTGCAATGCTAACTAATCATGCGCACTCTGGGGCAGGGGCACAAGTCAGTGGAAAATGAGCCAGCACCCTGCTAGTCAAACAGACGAAGGAAATCCTTATCTAATATCGCTATCTGGGTAGGCATATGAGATATACTTCGAGGTTGAGACCCTGGCCAAGCCATGTCAAGCGGAGCTGTGTGTCATTATCAAGCACGAAAGACAGAGAATATGAAGACAGGGGGAGGTAGCAAACACCAGATTCATCTTCGTGAAATGGTCATGAGAGCCATACAGCCAGTAAGTTACCCTCCGAGTCATCCCGTACATCAGTAGCCCGCTTCACGACATGCCCTCCCCCAGCAAAGCATCCACAATCACCTCACGAACTTGTGGGACTGCTTCCCCATGGGGGGCGGGGGCAGCTTCGAAGTTCTGTGCCCCGTCTCTCCAGACTTCTAGGACGACAACCCTCTTCCGAACGGTTTGCTGCATGCCAACAAAGGCTGTTCACACCTTGTGAGTGTCATAGCCGCTTACTGAGGCCCCCGGAAACGGCAGCAAGACACAGCGGATAACTGTTATACAAGTCCTGACATCATCTCATTTCCGTCATACCTTGGCCCTCGCCCCCAGTGCCATCGTGACCAAACACCCGTCCCTCGCCATACCTAGCTCCGGAGCACTCATCCCGCTTCTGACTCGCGCCCCATAGGCCCCCTCCCTCCCTTGCAAAAGCCCATGAAAACGGTCTCCCGACGTTATCCTTCATATCAAACACAATCCAAACCTCCCATGAATCTCGCGATATCTCTCCCAAAATCTCATAAACCCATCTCATATATCACACCACAACCCCCAAGAGCCGTCGTCAAAACAAAGACCCCCCCAAATTCTTCACGCTCAGAACAGGCATCGAAAAGTGGATCCACATCCTTTGCTGCACAGAAGCGAGCGACCGTTACACCGGCCCAAGCCCTCGGCTCTCGCTTCTCCTCACCAAAAAAAGAATTGGAGTAAGGGTAAACAGACGAGCCACGCGCAGAAAAAAAACAGCCCAGGTCTCGAAAAAATCGAACGACGTCTGCGTGAGGGGAAAGCTGTCAATTACCGTTCCCTTGGGTATATCACATCTCCAAATCCCTAGCCCCCCGGCTCGGAATTAAGTAATCCTCCCAACTACATCTCATTATTTCAACGACACATCGTGAGGCCCATTCGGTGCACTGCGCCGCAGCACAACACAGGCACTACGTAAAAACGGTGAGATGGACACACAAGCGAAAACGGTGCCACGGATGGGTACGTAGACCCAATTCCAACAAATGTCGTGATGGGAATTGTGTGGAGCACCCCTGGGTCAGTCGGAGGAGGACCCGCTGGGTCAGTTGGCCACCGAGCCTGACGACGATGATTGCGGATCCTACGATAAGAACAGGATTTTCATTTCGCGCCTTTCACGAAACGGTACGGCGGGGTCGCTCACTTGGATCGTGGGACTGGGGCGGCGAGGGGGGGAGACTTTGGCGTCGGAGGAAAACAACAAGTACGTTCGATCAACGGGCGGGCGGCCGAGCTTGATGTCGCTGGCTCTCCCAACTCAGGGATGGCCGTCATCGAGATCGGGCCAAAGGTTCGATCTTATCGCCACGGACGGCATTTCACATGTCTTTCTCCCTTTCTCAAAATTCCCAAAGTTGGGAGCATGGAAAAAAAGAGTTGAAGCATAAGTTTAATCGCAGAAAGCATGCTTCCTCACTTTTCCCTGGAGTTTCAATTGAGTTTTCGTCATTGTTTGAAGGGGCGGACCAGCGGCCAAGCTGGGCGATGAGGCAATTTTTAGTGTTCGGACGCACGAGCACGACTCGGGGGTAAGGCCCCCCCTTCAGACTTGAGATCGCGAGAGATAAGGACATACGGTCCAATGGGCGGGCGGAGCCTCGGAGACCGAGCTTTATTTTCGTTTCTGGGTTCACTTTGACTGCACAGTGTGTGCTTGTGCTGCGTGGCCTTTGGCAGAGAGTCTGGCAGGTCGGGAGCTCGAGTGAGATCGTCCTCTGGCGGCAGTGAGTGAGTGGGTAGGTGAGAGCGACACGTTCGCAGGAGGAGGATCGTGAAGGGCCGCCCCGTCGTTCATCAGCCAGGCCCCCAGGATTCTAAAGATGTTGGTTTGGTTCATGGGGGCAGCGGGAAGGGCACGAACGCAAAATCTAAACGGACGGGAGCAGCAGTCGAAGGGGACTGGAACCAGACCAAGCTTGTGCTTGCCTTGTGCGCTCCCCATGGGGTGTGATGCTTCCCTTGTCATCCGCTCCCGCGTGGTGCCTGTGTGTGCCTGGCCCTCAGTAGCTTCCCTCCCGGCGAAGAAAGCTCTCACACGCCCCCTTCCCTTCGTCCCAATTCTCACCTCACATTGGCCAATTCACCTTGGGATCTCGAGTTGATCGAGGGGAGCTCCTTCTCCAGAGTGGAGATACCGTGGCCTTGAGATCTAGTGAGACGTTCATATCGAAAGCTGTCTCGAACGGGAAAACGCCTCAGGCGAGTGCTCAGGTGGAAATCCATCAAAGTCGGAGGATTCAACGTTCACAGCATTTCATATTTCACATTTCACCAATCGAGACGGATCGCAAGTGTTTTGACGTTGTAGTATTTTTACAGAAAAAATTTGTATCGGGGCCAGGAGCCACGGGGGATACGTGGGAAAATACCAGGTGCAAGAGAAAAGTGTGGTACAAGCAAGACTTTTTCGCTGGATGAGTAGTGCGTTGCCCCAAGGCCTTCCTTTGCCAAACGGAATCTCCATCTATACAACACAACAGAGTGTGCGGTCTATGACCTCTATCTTCTAGGATGCCCACCATGCTGTCTAAGTTTTCCCGTCTATTACTCTCTCATCATACAGTTGGGGGTCAACCGTAGATGAAAAGGCGACCTGTCCCAGGGGAGTCGTGAGATAGACAGCTTGTCCAAAGCTGGCATCCTTCTCTCCCCAGCTCGCCAGTGCGAATTGAATCGCTTACGTCTGTGGGGTGAATTAGCATCGATGACGGGTGATGGAAATGAGATGGAATGATGACGTACGAACTTGGCCATGAGGGCAACCATGAGGTCGAAAAGACCGATGGCCTCGACGAAAGCGAAACCCAGAATGGCGTAGGAGAAGAGCTGGCCACGGAGGGCGGGGTTGCGGGCAACACCGTTGAGGAGGGCGGCGAAGACCAGACCGATACCGATACCAGCACCAGTCAGACCGATGGCGGCGGAACCCATACCCAGGTTCTTGGAGACCTCGACCATGGCCTGGGCGATCTCAGAGGAGTAGGCGCGCTTGGCCTGGACCTGGGTGAAAGCCTTCTGGGCGGTCTGCTTGCGGGCGACCTGGAGGGGGCTGAAGCCTGAAAATTTCGAGTCGGGTCAGAAACGGTGATCGGTGAGGAATTTTTTTTTTCTGTGTCTCATGGTGTCGGGGGACGGGAAGGAAGATCGATATCGACATCGAATTGGTGCCGGCGAGGCCAATTGGTCTCATCATCGGCGGGGTATGTGAAAGTTGTGGTCGTCGATGCCTTCTTTTCCTCCTCTTGCTTTCCTTCCCTCCTCGGATTCACCTCGAACGTGTCTTCATAAAACTTACCAGAGATGGTGCGCTTGGGCATGGCAGAGACACGCACCGCAGGGCGGGCGGCCTTGGTGGCCATCTGAGTGGCGAGTCTGGAGGCGAGGACGCGAGTGGAGGCCATTGTGACTGATGGAGGGGAGAGGTGGTGGTGATGGACTGGAAGGAAGAAGATAGGAAAACAAGAGACAGATTGGGGATGGAGAGGTAAAGTGGAAGGAGGAAAGGAGGAGAGAGAAAAAGCTTCGGAGACGGGAAAAGCTCTGCTCAGGTGATGGGCAAGCTCGGTAGAGCGAGAGGGCAGGGGCCCGGGCAACGGGACGGCGGAAGTTGATCCAGATGGCTCGGCCGTTGGGCCAAGGTCGGTTCCTCAGGTTCCACGGGTTGCTACTGTGTGAGGTGAAAGACGGTAGCAAAGAAGCCTGAGGTTGATACGGTGACTGGCAGTGCGGCAATACTGTAGCCATCCACCAGCATCCAACCATCGGATCAAACAGGAGAGACATTGGTGAATCCAGTCGCTCGGTGGGCCCGGCGCCGGGATGGATTTCGCAATGTGCGAGGCGTCCCAATCAGGTTAAGACTTGACTACCTGTTGACATATCGTGGACCTCCCATCCACACAATGGACCCAACACACACGCCCTCGCACCGATCTCGGGCATTGTCGGGAGGCTGGGCGGCGAAGGGCATCCTTGATAGCGAGACGGCGCTGCAGAAGGGTTGACTTTGAGCATAGCATTGCTGCGCATGCGCCTCAGGCTTTGCTGCGCTGCTCAGAGGGATGAAAGGGCGAAAAGTCCCTTGGCCGGGAGCACGAATCATGAGAAGTGGGTTGGGCTGTGTCAAGGCTGCGAATCCGCAAGGTTGGGTCCGTTACGGCCGGCTAAGGTAATGGAAATGGCAATGGATATCCAGTTTGGTTCCGTTACGGAGATGCTATGCTGTTGGTTGGGCACACGATGGATTATTCTCATTGGAATTGTTCAGCCGCTGCTGATGCTGGCTGATGAACGGATCGAAGGTAAGAGATATCGATGACGGTGGATGTCGGGGGCTGCCAGCGCCTGCCAAATCCGATAGACGGGCATCCCACGGCGAGAAAATTTTCTCAAAAATCATTCCCTCAGGCACAGCGCGCTAGAGAAGAAGTCAGCTTTGATATCAAACCGGCCATGGCTTGTGGTGACCCCCACTCGACACCGTCAAAGGCCCCCACTTTGCGGCGGTTGGGTCCAATCAGCCGCAGCCTGGCACTCACACGTGGGTGGACCCGACAAAATAGCTCAAGCAAAAGCGACCCTAAGGCGCCAGAAGAAAGTGGGCACGATGGCCCAGCTTGGATCCGGTTCCAGAGATAAAAAGGGACGCGGTGAGACGGATCGCGGTTTGGCGGCCGTGGCGAGCGGTGGTCTTCCGTTCTGTTTTCCCTCTTCATTTCTTCGCGCTGTTCCTCCCTCCCGTCCACCCTGTGTCGCCATTCTTTCCAACCGCCGCTTATCAGACTTTTCGCCGGGCCGCACCACGGGCGAGATGGGATGAAGTCAATCGAAGCACGCTGGGCGCATAGACCTAGCGCTGTCAGGGACGCTTGTCGGCGACTGCACCCGAACACTCACACCCCCTTCCAGGCGTCGCCCCCTACCGCATAAACAGTAGACGAGTGTTACGTGAGATCCCGGCAGAAATCCAGAAACCTGGCTGGCGTGCGCTGGCAGAGAGGCAACAGTGAGGTGCTGGCAGCTGCCGGCTCGGAAAACCCGCCAATGGGAGATGCCATCGCTCCATTCAGCCGACGTCCGAGGCTCCAGTGTCTGAGATGGCCGAGATGGGTGCGACGCCGTCCAGCGTGGCCGTATTGCAGGGTCCACAAAAGCGCTATCTGCGAGATTGATTCAGCGTCAAACGCAAATCTAGCGTTGTGTCAATCCCAGTGCTTGGTACCACCAACGCAATGCAGCCCTTTCACAGGCTTGGCCTGCAGTACGTTCACACCTCATCACTGCCGTCCGTAATGTGCCGGGTCAGTCCTGTCTCGGAGGTCCAGGTACCATTACGGTTCGAGGTACCTGAAATGCCCGGCGGAAGAAATTTTCGCGGCCAAGCCGTTCAATGCCAATGAGCCACTGATGGCTGCTCGTAACGCTGACAGCAGTGCCGCGGGTACGCTGACGGTCGCTGAAGAAGAAATGCCGGCACAACGTTGGCGCTCCTGGGCGTGGGCGATCGGCGTTGTCTCTCTGTCCTCTGTCTCTCGGTGCGTGCCTGAGGCGTAAGAGCCTCAAAAAATGACGCATTACCGGCGGACGTCTGCATCAGCCACTAGAATGCAGCCCCAATCGTGTTGAGACCGGGACGCCAGCGGTTGAGTCGGAGCTTGCTTGTGCTTCCGAGTCGGTGTCTGACTTCTGCATTTTGATCGTATCTTAAATTGGGTGCAGCTGGTGTCGCAAGACAGAAGCAACCGCGTTGCTGACGCTATCGAGCCAATTGAACGGGAGATTCGACGACACCTGTTCAAGCCACGGGGGTCAGAAGGTCAGACGGAATTGATTGAGGTGCCCATTGTTACGGTTGGGATGATGAGGGCGACGGATGCCAGTCCGCCCGAGCTTATTGCAAAATTTTCTTCCCTTTGTTCCAGGTCCGAGCTCCTTGTTCCTTCCTTCCCTTGTGGTTGGGTTGGTTGGTTCCTTCCCGGCGGCGTCCCTTCCATGCCCGTCTCCTGCCGTCCTGGACGGAAAAAAATCAGGGCCAGGCACGTTCAGCCTTGCAACCCAGGCAGGCGCCGCCAAACGGGACGTCGTTGCCTTAGGCTCAAGCTTAATTCCGTTGTGGCTGCATCATCAACCGAAACACCCGATGGTGCCCAGCCTTTTTGGACCTGCGCCAACGGGCAGGAACGGGACTATGAGACGCCGAGGTACAATATACAGCAAGGTATAGATATAGAAAAGGACTAAGCTACCCTAATAGATATAACCTAAGGTATAAATATAGAAATACTATACTTAGTACTAGAAGATATAGAGGTCTTAAGAGAGATAAAGATAAAGTAAATAAGGTATAAATAACTTTTCTTTATAGTAACTTTAATTACTAAAGTTATAGGAACTTTACTTTATATAAGGAGAGTAGTAATAAAATAAGTAACTAGTACTCTATCTATTAATTAATATAATAATAAACTAATAACTTAATAACTTTAATAATAACTTTAATTTAGAGGGTACTATATATATTAACCCTTAAATAACTATTTAAAGTATATAAAAACTATAATTAGGAAGAGTATAAAAGTTCTTTATAAGTATTACTAAACTTAATATTAAGGATATTATTACTATATTTATTTTTAGTACTTATTTCTAGAAATAAACTAAGTTATAGTTAATAGATTTATAAACTTAAGTTTTAAACTATATTTATAGGAAGTATTAATAGGGGGTAATAGATTAAATAGAGTAGAATTTCACTATAATTCTCTAAAGTAATAAATATATTACTTATAGAGCTATTCTACTAAGAGCTTTATTAATTACTTAGATCGTATAAGAAGGGTAGGATAACTATAAGAGTTAAGGGATAAAGTAGTATACTAAGACTAATATAAGAAATTCAAATAAATAACAGGCTACTCACACCCCAGGGTGGGGGGAGGGTGGACTGTGAGACGCCACGCCCAGATGGTGCACTCGCCAATTCGAATCCCAGCGTCCTTCCGGAATGATAAATGAGTCTCAACCAACGGGAATAGCAACCTTGCAAGCACCCAGGAAGCTGCAGGCGACCTTGTCAGAAAAGTTTTCCATTCCCGGGGAGATTTCAATTGGGAAGGCTTCCAGTAATTCGCTTCAATATTCCATACGAAGCCCGGCCGATCACCTCCCTGGCCCTGCAAAAAATAGCTCCAACGAGGTCGACACGCATTAATTCCTCGCGCAATTGACGCCGAAAGGCGCATGCGACGGCGCCAGTGGTCCAGCAACCTCGGGCGAGTCCAACACGACGCCAGCAATTGGAAAAACATTGCGAAAAGTGATCTCGGCTGCCGCCATTCGCGACCATCCATCCAAAGCTTTGCATGGCCCAAGCTCCTTTCCCTTTTCGGCCTCATATCTCACTCCCTTCCATCCTCGACGTCTTTCTGCATCCGATAAATCCCGCTGACTTGCATTGTGTCCTTCCCTTCATGCTCCAAGTGCCTTACTTAGAGTCTTGCATCTTGGGCATGACATGCCAGAAAAGATTCCTGTCACTGGTTCTGGGTATCGAAGTATCCTTGACTCTGCCGAGGCACTCATCTCGCAGACACAAATTCAAACCTATTCGACGTTGGGCGATGCCTCATGTAATTTTTCAACAACCCGCGCAAATAAATTCGGGTGCTACCACCCTCATGATGTTCCGAGCAGCATACTGCGTATGCGCTGAACCGTCCTGTGGTTTCCTTCCCTTGATTGTCTTTGTGAATCCATGTGCGGGGTCCCAATTCGTCAACAGACACACAGCCTGGCTCAGTGAAATCAAATCCATCATCGCGTGGCTGTGGAATGAGATAGACCAGATCTCTGATCCATGAGTTAACCTCCGTGGTATCCTCGGCGATTGCTGAGTGGCTAGGCCCGTCCTGTTCGTGTGCTTGGCCGTCATCTGTCTTCTGTCTATTTACGCCGTAATTCAGATGTATAAAATGGATGAAAGGGCCGTTCCAGGTCACGTAATATTCTTTGCCCATCGCCTTAGTTATATAATCCTCCCCTGATGCCTTCGTTCTATACAGCCTGCCCATTGTCTTGATCAAAAACTCCCTGCTCATTGCGCTAAAGCAATTCCCGTCGGTGCTGGGAGTAGGTACAAAGACTGAATAGTCGGTGAGGTTTTCGAGGAGCAATACTTGAGCAGCTGTTCCCATTAGAAGCGCAGGAAACTTGATTGCAGTGGTGTCTCGCATGCATACAGACACAGGCAGCCTAGCTAGCCCCTCTGATTCTTGCTCGTACGTCAGCCCCCAGTCCAGCCGCTGGAGGCCATCATACGCCCAGTTAGGTACCCATTGTGGTAACTGATGCTCGACAGCTAGACGCTGCTGCAGAACGCAGGTTCTGCTGAGTAATGACGGCAGGCCGAAGTTTTGTGCGATCCAGATAGCGACTGACGTGTATACCTCTGCCGTCGTTTTCGTATAATCAGCCACAAGCCCGTCGCTCTCTGGGCAAGTCAGCAAGCCGAAAAGTGCGAAGACTTTGTCCCGTGGGTCCGATGCCCGGCTGCCAAGAGTTGCCTCCAACAGCCCAAGCAGCCCCTTGGGGTTCCCGTACGCGGGCGCGCGAAGTTCCAGGACCGGAGGCAGTCGGTCCAGGCCGGATATGCCCAGGAAGTATCCATCGTCTTTTGAATAATCCAATAATCCGATGTGACCCAGTCTAGGAATCTCCATCAGAGACCATGGTATTGAGTGTCTTCCACAAATAAGTGTTGCCTGTCTCGCCAAAGCAACTTCCTGGAGGACCCAGACTCGAGAGAAATATCGTCGTCTGAAGAGCCTACATAACGCCGCCTGCAGTAGTAGATGCAGATCGGTGTCCTCAGATACCCGCAGAGATTGGCCAGAAAGGAAGTTCAGCAAGTCATCCTCTTTGGGACTCGACTCACCAAGGTAGACAAGCACATGGTCCGCGCGAGAGTAGATTTGCTGCATCAGGCGTACTTGATGGCCCCTCTCCTGCAGGTCATCTTGGTTGATACAAATAGCGTCGATCCAAATGGTTTTTTTGCTACCCTGGCTTCTAACACGCCTCAAAGCTGCTTCACAGTTCGGTGTCACTAGAAACCTTCGAGAGTTCAGCATAATGGATCCGCTGCGTTCCATTTGTTCGTCTTCACCGCCCCAGGTGTAAGATATGGCATCGTATCGCAGGAAGCCGGAGGTGGTCGTCAGGTGAAGATTTCCATTGAGTGGGTCTTCGTATTCACCAGGTTCCAAAGTGAGAAGCCGTATATCTTTCGTGTTGTTCAGAGTCTGGTAGATGTTGTGGTAGATGTCCTCATCACCAGATGACGATAGATCCGGTTCGGTCTGAACGGAGCCACAGCTTAAGCAACTTGAAATGCCGCCATTGGTAAAAACGTCCAGTCTTCGACAAGATGAGTTGTGCCATTCTGACATGGTTGAAGGGTGAAAGATCTGAACGTGCGTTTGATATAACGAATATGTTCTTCATTGAGGTGGTTGATGTAGCGTTTGTGTAGGTGGTAAGTCAGGCTGCCTCGAGGCGGGGTCATGCGAGTGAGCCGCATGCTGAGCCTGGCCGGTTCATTGGCAGGCATTTCAACAAAACATCGAATCATATTCCAGCAGATGTTTATGATGTGTCATCATTCTCTTGAGGCGCAGGGGCATGTGCGCAGGCGAAAGAGGGAGGCTGAATTGGCAGCGCACAACTGCCAATTCATCTTTAAACAAACCACGTTCGTTTGCTTCGCAGGCAAAACGTCTTTTCAAATTTCCCTTCTAATGAATGCGCTTAATTCTCTTCGGCCTGACAGACAGGAACAAACAAACCTTTCCAAATTACCACGCCCACTGGCTAACGCCTTTCGCTCTGAGAATTGACATTCAGCACGAACCAAGCCATCCGGCAAAAACATCCTCTAACACTACGCCTCGATATTCCCTATTTAGCACAAACGAACGTAAATTCTCCCGTTTTCCATACGCCTTTGTGGGAAGTCCCATCCATGTACAAAAGTCCTTGTATTCGCTCTGGCCCATCAACCCCATCGGCCGCGCAGAAAACTGCATACTTGCTGAATCTGCCCCTCGTTGTCCTCCCGTTCGGTCTCTCATGGAGCCACGTGAGGGATTTCCCGTTCGCAAAGACGGAGACAGTTCCCGGGTGGGTAAATTGAAACTTCCCGTAGTCGTCTGGCTCTGGCAAAAGGTAAATGTTGGCCTTGTTCCAGCCCGCGTAAGCCTCTAAAGTCTTGAACGTGATCGGAAAGCCATTGTCACACCGTGAATACGCCTCGCTCGCCAGACCAGGGAAATCTCTGTCGTTCCTTAGAAATACGAATGAATACGTCTCGGCAGTTCTCCTCCCATCGATATAGTCGCCAAAGATCTTAAACACCCATGGCGGGGGAGGAATATGCACATCCTTCGCTCGACCTATCACATTTTTGGAGAACGACTCGTAGGATTCTTTGTCGTACGCCAAAATTTCGTCAATAATGCGTCCAAGTTTGAATGTAGGGAACCGGATCGCGCCGGGGTCTCTCTGGGACACCGTAATCGGCAACCCTGCCACCTTAGACACCGAGCGATACTCTCTCCTGAGCTGAGGAATCAACGAGTCCGGACTTTGGAATGTGTCCTCCGTCCAGTTGGGTATCCATGCTGAATCCAATACGACTGCCTCGCTCACAGGCACACGCCGGACAACATCGACAGCCCTCGCAAGAAGGGCCGGCAGGCCGAACCTCTGAGCTATCCATAGAGCAGTCGATGTGAAGACCTCTGCGGGTGTTTTGGTGTAGTCTGCTGAAAAGCCCTCGCTCTCAGGGCAGGTGATCAACCCGAATACGGCAAAGACCTTGTCGCGTGGATCTGCTGCCCGACTGTTACGAGCTAAGTCCAGGAGGCGGAGGAGGTCGCCGGTGGTTCTAAAGGCCGGCGCCTTGAACTGGATTACTGGAGGTAGCGCTTGCAATCGTGGTATTCTCCCGTCCTCTGATACTAAGCCTGATAAAAGACCGCGAGCGGCCAAGTTGTTCACGTGGACCAACGACCATGACAATGTGTGGCTTCCGCAAATGAGAGTTGCCTGTCTTGCCAGTGCAACTTCTTGGATGACCCACGCCCGCGAAAAGTACCGACGACTGAGGAATCTCACCAAAGCTTCCTGGGTCTCTTCTCGGTTGCCCGGCGTCGAGTTGTGCTGAGCCCAGGTGAGGTGTTTGAACAGTGCCGGTATATCACTAGTTGCCTCTCCCACATAGATGATGACTTCTCGTGCGCGTGAGTATATCTGCGGCATCAAGCTGACTTGGCGTCCTCGTTCGTGAAGATCATCCTGGTTGACGCAGATAGCGTCGATCCACACTATCCTCGGTGTCCATTCTTGCCGAACCCGCCTGAGTACGGCCTCGCAGTTCGGAGTGACTGGGAAATCTTCCGAAGCAATAGAGACCCGGCCGGACTTGTCAATGATATCGTCGTCGCCTGCCCAAGTGTAAGAGATGGCATCGTACTCCTCATAGCCCCGAGTCGTTGTCGTGACAGCGAGGCTGCAACGGACTGCATCGCCAAAGGACCCAGGCCAGACGGTGAGCAAGCGGATCTCGTCCTCTGCCAAGGGCTGGTAGAATATATTTTCGCTGTCGACCCTATGGCACTCCTCAAGTGAGAATGGATCGAATTCCAGAGAGCTTTTCAAGTCATTGTCGGGATCGATGTCGAGCTCCGCCCAGAACTCGTCCCAATCCCCATCATCCATGATGGATCATGGAATTAGTTTATCGGCAGTTTGTTCACTAGATCAACGCGATTATGTCGAATCATGCAGAAAAACGAATCAGGCTATCACGGGCGGGGTAATGCGGCGGAGCTGTGTTGCACATTCGTGCTGATTGGTAGGGACTTCACGAACCCCCGAATCAAGTTTCAATAAGTAGTCGTGCTGCTCCACACGTGCATGACATTGCCTCCTTTTCACTGGACGCAAGATCAGCTGTACGTTACATCCATTTTCTGAGAGCAAATCCAGAAAGCTTCGCATTGGATCCCACAGATTGAAGCCGAAAGACTACTGCCAGCCCAATCCGTACGTGTTTGGTTTTCCAGCATTCAACCTTGTCTGCCCTGCCCACATGGGTTAGAAAGCTCTATGTTCACAAACGGTGATGTTGCAGCTTTTGTGGCCTTTTGACCTTGTATCATTACTACTAACCTAGAGTCATCACGACCATGTATTTGAGAGATCGAAAATGATAGCCATCAAGTGTTGTTTGGTTTTATACAATGATTTTATATATACACGAACATAGTGTACCCCCTGACTTTGAGGATAGCCGACTCTTTCATCACGCCGGACCACTCCTCCCATCCCCAGCAAAATCCGCTCGCAGATTCCCTTTAAACGCAGCTGTCGCTGCCAGGAACGAAGGTTCCGTCAGAGTTCTCGCAGCCGCACTCGCCGGTGTTGGGGTCCTTGATGCATCCAGCGCCCTCGCCGGAAGAAGATCCGTTGCCGCTGTTTCAACTCTCGGTCAGCAAATTACATTCTTCTTCGTTCCCCCAAACGCAAACCACCAAAACTCACCTCCAGAAGAAGGTCCAGCAGTCCGCGTCAGTCGTCATCTGCGAGCTCGAGGGCGGGGTGCAGGTGTACGCGGAGCAGGTGCCGTAGGGGGCGCCGTTGTTGCCGTCGTACTGGTGGTCCGTCTCGAAGACGGCGAAGGTCTGCGTCTTGGAGGTGCGCGTGTTGTGCGAGCACTCGGCGGCCTGGATGGCCTTGGACACCTTGGTCGCGCTGCAGCTGTAGACGCTCGGGCAGGCGCCCTTGGTGTTGGAGGTGGCCGGGTCGAGGGTCGCGGCCACGAGGGCGGGGGCGGCGAGGAGGAAGTAGGCGAACTGCATTTTTGTTGTTGGTTGGTTTGGTTGAATTGAAGCGAATGTCTTGTCAAAAGAGTGTGGTCTGTCTGTGTGGTCCGGCCTGGGATTGTTGAAATGGTGATGATGGTAATAGCAAGAGGCACATATTGGATCAAAGGAACTTTTCCTTTTATATCATCTCCCTCACCTCATCGAAAATGGATCGTCTGCTCTTTGCCCATTCCCCATACTGTCAACTCCTTGGTTCCGAAGCTGCGTAGCGTCGACATGTAAATTAGCTCCCGACCCGCCGCGTTTCGAACAGATTCCTATCGGGCCATTACGAGCAATCGGGTCGCGGCTCCGGCATGTCCATCCCGCCCGGCCGGGAGACACCCCTGCCCTCCCGCCGCGGTCTGGACCAAACTTACGTAGTTTCTTGTGTTTTCGTCCGCGTTGCCTGTTTATATTATGTTTTGACAGGAGGTTCAAGGTGCACTGGCAATTGCTTGAATTTTTCTCCTGAGTTTTCTGGAAACATTTCTCCCCCACAGTCTTCGATTTCTCGTGGTGGAGCCGGCAGCACACTAACAGTGTCTCGACCAGAAGCTGTGTGACGCGCCACTCCATCCAAGTTAATAAAACAAAACCAAACAACGCTCATCTCCCGAGACAGCACCACCACCACCACCAGCACTCATCCTCGAATAATTGCGGGTGTTTCTTCTAGACCACCACGGCAGTCTGAAAGAAGCACAAATGTCTCGGAAAACCTGTCACTTCCCGCCTTCACGTAAGGGTCAGTCGTGCACCTCCCCCAAACCCATTGTGGTTCATCCCAATTCCCCACACCACGCCGCCAGCCAGCCAGCCCTGCTCAGGGGGGGATTGATTGCTTGTTGCAGCCGCAGCGGGAGATTAAAGGCGATCAGTGGGGTTTCCCGCTCCCTCAATCAACAATGCAGCTGGGGTTCAGCCACTGCCGGCAGGTTGAGTGGTTGCTGACGACGCGCTGCAGTTTGCGGTTCGTTGTTGCAGGTCTGGATGAGGGCCATTTGTCTACGTAGGAAATGGTTCGGAGGATGGATGCGGGAAGAAGAAAGTTGCTGGCGGCTGCGGGAACGCGTATTACGCAGCTGATGTTTCTATTCTTGAACTTCCGAAGCTTTCGATCCCCCTTTCTTAATATTCAGGGAAAATCGTCTGGAGCTTGCGAGAAGTATGAGTTGCAACGTTGCAGGACCTTTCCCCTTCGTCCATCGAGTCACGCGTTGTCGAAGCTCCTGAAAGATTCGTGTCGTGGAGTTGCATTCGATCGCGGACGAGGTCGAGGGCGGCATCGCAAGGCAAAACAAGCTAGCCTAGCTCACCGGTCGCCCTATCTTGGCATCGCAGCTGAACGGGCACACCATCGGGGAACGACCAGACCCAGGCCAATCGAATCGAGCAGAAGCATCGGACATTTTCATGTCGCAAGGTGCGGGGTGTCGTACGCAGCGGAGCATTTCTCAGTAGCCTTCCTCTAGGATTCTCGGTCAGCCAAGGCGCCCGTCTCGGTGATGAAGCCGCAACCCATCCCGCCGGCTGCCTGTTTCTCTCTATATATCCTCTTGGACCCAGTCCATCTTCCTCCTTCATCGCCACCTCTACCTCATATCAAGCACCACATTCGGCCCCTTCTCCCCCTTCACAAACGCCCTCAAATTCTCGCCCACGACCCTCCTGATGTTCACCCGCGTCTGGTCCGCACACCACGCCAGATGCGGGCTCAGCGTCAGATTCACCCCTCTCGCTTCCTCCCCAAGCAACACGCTATCCGCCCCGCTGCCCGCCGGCTCGACCTCGTACACGTCCGTCGCGGCGCCGTACAGCCTCCCCTCCTTCAGCGCCTCCAGCAGCGCCGTCTCGTCCACCGTCCCGCCGCGGCCCACGTTGACGATAATCGCATCCGGCTTCATCAGCGCCAGCTCCGCCGCCCCGATGAGGTTCTTCGTCTCGGGCGTGAGCGGGACGACCATGAAGAGCGTCGTCGCGCGGCGGAGGACTTCTTCGAAGGGCGTCCTTTGATCGCCGTTGGTGATGTTGGAGCCGTTTGTTGCTGGCGTGGGAGACGGCGAGTCCTTGCGCGCGGCCACGAGGACCTGCATCCCCAGCGCCCTGCACATCCCCGCGATGCGCTGCCCGATCGGCCCGTACCCGACCATGCCGACGACCTCGTTGCCGCACGTGTGCGGCGGGCGGCCCTCGGCGTCGAGGAGCAGCGAGGACATGCTGCCCTTTGTGCGCCACGGGTTCGCGTGCGCGGGGGAGTGGTCCATCATCGTGTTGTGCAGCGTCACGAGGCGGCGGCGGGTTGAGAAGTACTGTTCCAGTGAGCATTGGTGTCTTGATGATGAGAGGGTTGACGACGTACGAAGCCCAGCGCGTGTTCGGATACGGCTTCGACCGTCGCCTGCGGCGAGTACATGACCGTTACGCCGCGCCGCTTGCACTCTTCCAGGTCAATGTGATTTGTGCCCGTTGTTTCCGTGATGATGCATTTCCTGTGATGAACCAGTTAGCCCAACCCGTCTCGTCCATAATGGTTCCAATCTCCCCGTAAAAAACGCTGAAAAAAGAAAACTCACAAATAAGGCGCCTCCCCCAAGGTCTCCTTGCTAATCGGCACCGTCGTCGTGATCAGGATGCTCGCCGGCCACACCCGCGCCGCGGCGACCTGCGGCTCCGACGGGCGCGTGTACTCGTACCCGATGACCTCGTGGGTCAGATCGCCCGTGTCGACCTCCGGCAGGGCCACGTGGATCGTCTCGAGCTTGACGACGACGTGGTGCGTCGCCGAGGGCAGGCTCGCGGGGCGTTTTATCTCTGTTGCGGGGTCGGACATGGTGCTGCTTTTTCGCCCCTCTTGCGTTCTCCTATTATCCTTGAGATTGGCCGAAAATAAGACAAGTTCAATTGTTCTAGAGGGAGAATGCGGCTTTTATGTCAAGCTGGACGTTGACCATATGATGAAGTTGACGCAAGGAAGTTGGTGAGCTCTGGGAGCTTGGGCGCTCAAGGTGGTGGGGGCGGGCCGTTATGCAAGATGGAGGTTACCCGTTTCCCTGTACCCAAAGATCAAGAGGGAGAGTCCTTATAACAACAAGTATCCAATTGAGAGAAAGATAAGAACATTGGCTATATACCGCGACATGAGGGGAAAATGCCATCTAGGGTCCTCAACCCGGCACCACAATATGTCTCCCGCTCCCTATCAGACACGCTAGGCCCCGCGGATCCGACAACCGGCGGGCGGGGGAGACCAAGATCGGCCCTCCGCGCATGCAAGCCGTCCACCGCAGGGCGCGGGCGGCACTTGATTTTTGACATTTTGACGTTTCGCACGTCACGCAAGCAACACACGCCTGCGGGAAGGATCACAATCCCGGTGCCATTGGCGGCATCAATACGACGACATCCGTCTACCCTATCTTGAAATGTCCGATCCGATCTTGACATCCCGCCCTTGCGTGGGGTCCCGGCTGCGGCAGGGCGTCTGTGGGGAGGGAGGGAATTCCGCACCCCGCGGAAAACTCGCGATAAGACAGAGCATGCTAATGGTATCAGTGATTTTGCAAGTTTGGGTTCCAAGCCACCCACAGGTATCAACTTTTTGAATTTGGCATCTCGAGGCATACCTGCCCGAGAGCAATGCTAACAACAATTCCTGCAATAAACCCCTCCCATTCCCAAATCCAACCAACCACCATTACCCACTGCTCACCTCTTGAAGGTCGCGCTCTTTTCACCCCTCGGAGGCGGCGCCTTGCGGGCCCCCTTCGGCGCATCGTCTCCCGTCTTGGCGTACGGGTCGAACGCCGGCTTCGCGACCTTCTTCGCCCCACCACCGTTCCGCTTCGCGTGAAGCACTGAAGCAGCCTGTCCGTAGTCAAAAGCCTCCTCCTCCTCCTCGTCATCACCCTCGCCCTCGCTCTTGCTCTTCGCGGCCTTCTTAGCAGCCTTCTTCGCCAGCTTCTCTGCTTCCTTCTGCTTCTTCCGCTCCGCCTTCTCCTGCTTCCGCGCCTTTGCTGCGGCTTTCTTCTCGGCCTTGGCCTTTCGGTTCGCGAGCGCGGTGACGTAGTTGTCCAGCTTCTGCTTCTTCTCAGAGGCGATGCCCTGCGCCTCCTCAAGCTGCACCGGGTACGCCCGGTCCTCGGCGACGTCTTTCGTGAGACGCTCCACCTCGGCTTGGGCACGCTGGTAATCCTCAGTGTATCTAGCAACCTTGTCGGCCCTCTTCTGTTCGACCTTCGCCTTGCGGTCACCCTCTGTCGTCTTACCCCTCTTGCCGCTGGGCGTACCGTCTGCCCGTTCCAGAACGATGTCGACGGAGCTCTCGTCCGATCCAGATTCGTCGTCGCTACCATCTGACTCCTCTTGCGCCGGAGCCCTGCGTTTCGCGCCGGCCTTCAGGGTGAACTCCTCCTCGACCGGAGGCGCCTCAGGCTGGGCAGCAGCCTCGGCTTCGGCCTCGACTCCTCCCTCCATGGCGACATCCTCTTGAGCGGTTGCCTCAGTTGTTGCTACGTTCTGCACGAACTTCTGCCATGGCAGCATGACGAAATCTCCGAGGCCATTAGCCGCAGAGGGCGCCGCCTCCCACGCCGAACTCAAGGCCATGCTGCCGAAGAGCTGGGACTGAGCCAGTTCGGCCGGCTCCGCGGCAACATCAGCTGCATCCTCCACCGCGGTCTCGGCCAATGGCTTGACTGGGCGAGATGGCAAATCCGAGCGGAAGAAATGGTACAGACTCGGCTCCTCCACACCACGCTCCCTCGCTTCTTGGTACCGTGCCCAGATATCGCTGACATTTCGTCGGGCAATGTGGGAACTTGGGGGAATGAGGGCGTGCAGAGCCTTCGCATCAGGCGGCATCCGCTTGGCGATGTCGCCAATGATCGCGTTGGGGAGCACGTAAGCGGTGCTTTCGTCCTCTCTCCGCGCCACCTCATCTCTCCAGGCCCAGACAGCCCTGTAGACAGCAAACTGCTGGCCTGAGAAGGGCGCTGGGTGCTTGAGCAAGAGACCGTACCAGCCCTTGGGACCCTTTCCGGAGACTGGGTCAAAGTGTTCGCCCTCGTATCGGGATAGAGACTGGGTCTTGGACTTCTGGAGAACAGTCTCGATGTAGTCGGTTCCAGGGTTGCCGCGGTCAGACTTCATCACCAGCTCATTACGGACCTTATCGTAGACGTAAAGGAGATAATGTGTGTCAGAGCGGGCGTAGTAAAGCATTTCCGGGGACAGTGGGCTATCGAGTGTTAGTGATGTGTACGCCAACCCCTTAAGACTCTACTTACCGCATGCGCCAGTCGGCCATTTGGTATCTCTTATCAGCATCAAAGTTGGCAAACTTGCTCAACAGGAATGCTAAGCTCTTTTGGGGGTAGTGGAGAGCTTCGCAAGCATAGAATGTGTCAAAGAGGCCGTTCACATACAGCCCAAGGTCGCGCTGCAGCCATATAATGTCCATGTAGGAGCCGTGGAAAACCTAGTCTCGTTAGCGCTGTCCATAGGTGAGTTGGAGGCGAGCCTACTTTGACGATGTTTGGATCAGCAAACACCTGGTTCAGAACCTGGAGCTGCTGTCTCCAGGGCTTCAGGGTATCGACAACCCAGTCTTTCTCGCGTGTGCTGATCTGCATTAGTGATGTGAGTCCCACATATGTCCTGAAGTCGTGATGCTCCAAGTCGACAGCGATCTCCTTGGCTTTCTTGAGCTCCTCCAACATCTCCAGCACGCCCTCGAAGGTATCGACCCATGTCGCCTCGGTCTTGTCGACGGGTTGCCAGGGAATCGGTTCGGCTTGTTGATAGACGCGGTCGGGGTATTTCGCTTCGAGGATCTCGGCTTCGTACGGGTGCTTGTACCTAATCCCTCCGTTAATACTCTTGATTGAACCCCTTGTCTTGTGGCGCTTGTTTATGCGAGATCTAGTCTGCTTGGAGTTTGTGGATTCGTCCACGTGAAGTAAAGGCAAGAAAATGGTGCAATCGTACGTAACAAAGCCGTCCGTCTCGTTGGATACCAAACTTTGTTCAAGCGGTACCTTGGCGTGAGGCTTCTCTGTGAGAATGGGCTTCCATGTCGCATTGTTGTCGACAGGGGGATCGAAGTTGAGCTGAGGCTTCGAGATGTTGGCATTGCGGATGACCTTATCAGTTCCGGTAGTCTTTGCCTTCTTCGCTTGAGAAGCCTGCGCAAGTCGTTAGCAATCGAAGGTCTCCTTTCCCCGTCACAAGGCGCTCACATCTGCGGTGGGCGCATCCTTCCTCTTGATAGCTCCCGTGTACTCGTCGATCGATGTGTCGGCCTTCTCCAGCACCGAGTCAACTACGTCCACAACACTCCTCCAGCGCATGTCAATGTCGTCGGCATCTTCGAGTTTGGGCGCGTTGAGGCCGCAGACGCTGGCGGCCGACTTGAGGAGGGTCGTGGAAAGCTCGAGGAGGCGCTCGGTTTTGGCGTCGAGGTCGTCGCCCACGCCAGGGTTCACGGCGCGCTGGAAAGCAAGGTCCTCGGCGGCGATGCGGTTCACCGACCGGGTGGTGGCCACAAGCGCAGACTGCACCTTCTCCTGGAGAGACTTGAAGTCCTGGGGGGAGGTCATGGTGTGGGCGCGACGCTTGGGGTGTCGTGAGCGTTGGTCGCGGCTTTGGCTGCGAAGTTTGACGCTCAAAAATTATGCCAATTGGGAGAGGTCCCTTGCCGATAAGATAGCGCGCCCCACTCACCGTCTTATCGATACCTAGGGATGAGGTAAGCAACGATTCAGCTGTCACTGACGTAGAAATGCATAGATGTGTATGGTCAGCAGTAAGAGCTGGGGAATCAAGGTTCTTGAAGTGATTTTGGGTAAGAGAAGTAGACAAAATGTGTGAGGTTTCCTTCAATGAGTCAATTTTGGCCTCAATTACAGAAATGCGGCAGATAGGAAGCCGAGGGTAAGGTGCTGACATTCAGCCGAGCCTCAGACTTACAGCGGATGCAGCCGCTGTGACGCAGTTGAGTGCCTAAGGAAAAGCCGTAACGATTTTGCCTCGATTTCTCGCCGCCTCCCTCAACTTCATCTCACGTTCTCCGTGACATCCGTGACACAACACCCACCATGTCTGCCTCGTTAGCACCCGAATGCAATGAAGTCAAGGAGTGAGTCGCCGGGTGAAGTCTTTGCAGACGTCAAACTGACAACGGTGACAGGCGCTACGACACATGCTTCCTGAAATGGTACAGCGAAAGTCAGTCTTATTCCCATAACCCCCCTCCCCTGTGGCTGTTTGTGAGTTGTATCTGACGTAGGTGTAGAGTACCTGAGGGGCACCGGCACGGACAACAATGAGTGCGCCGACTTGTTCAAGAACTACCAAAAGTGCCTGACGGTGAGTAGCATCTGTTGTTGTGTGTGGTTCTAGTCCAGCATGAACTGAGTGGGCAACTTCGCAGGTGGCGTTGAAGGAACGCGGAATAGACAAGCTTCTGGACGAGGCACGGGAAGACAGCAAAGAGAGCGACGCGACGTACTTGGGTCGCAAATGTGAGTTATCCCCAATCCTACGTGATGGGAGGCCAATCTGACCACTCATGCAGGACGTGATCCAACTAGCAACATATCTCGCGGTCGGTTTGGCGTTTCCCAGGGTTGCATTTGTTGGGCACAAGGTGGCAGTGTAGGAACCGCAATCTCAAAATATGCCCCGTTCTTCTCCATGACGCGTCCAACCGCCGTGTCTCTCTGCATTTCATCATTCGTGAGCCGCCCAAGACTAAAGTTATCCCTGGACAGATAACCTTAGCGTAAGCTTGAATTCCCCGAGAGAATACCCTGTGTGGGACGGGGGAGCTTTGAAGAGAAAAGAAAGTATGATGGCAGTGCATTTCGCAAGTGGCATCATCGTTATGCTGTTCCAAAGGTACACTGCGATGTACTTGGCAGCACTCCCAACGGGAATAATTAAGATCAGCCAAGGTCTCCATCAACTTGATGCATACTGTAAGATGATCTGAAAACATTGAAACTGACAATCCGACAAATCAACCAATGTGACCACCATAGTCGGGAAGCGTCTTGCGGACTCCGAGGGTCCACGTGATTGCACATTTTTCTTCCATTCTCGTCGCTCAGCTGCGAGTCCGTCTCTGGGAGGAAAGAAACATTGCCAGTCCCGGATGGCGTCAAATGTCAAGCAGGGGCCAGAATTCGGCCAATCCAGAAGCTGCTCAGGGCGGGTTGTTCCAGGTTCCAGACCGCCCACATCCCAGTCAAGACAATGTGAAGCTTGCAACTGGCCCTCAATCCACTGAGGTGTGCCGTGTCCCCTTAGCGGCCCTACGAAAAAAAAAAAAAAAAAAANAAAAAAAAAAAAAAAAAAGGCCACACACACCGCGCAGCAAACCGTGTCCAGTTCGGTGGGTCGCCCTCTGCTTGCCCAATGCCGAGCGGCAACGCTGCGCTTCAGCAGGTTCGACCCGCTAACGACAGCATTCGCTAGCGGCAGGACATCGCTGCAATGACCAGGGGAACAGCAGGAAACAGGCGGTCCGCTGTCGCCAATAATTACATTGCCAATTCCCGTCCCGGACCACGCACCCAGGCCCAATCCCCGATTTGCGAGCCTCCTCTCCACGCGCGAAGCTTGTCCCTTGCCCACCTCCCGACCCCGTCTCCGACATCCAAGGACCAACCCCCCGTCCGCTCCAATTGTCCAGTCCCTTCTCCTGCCCCAGACAACGCGCGATAAACACGGCTGTCCTGCACCACCAGCCTATCTCGAGTCGATTCTCCTACCGGTCATATCGTCACATCTCGTCCCCGAAAGACCTGGAAACCCCTCCAAGCTCGAATCAAGCTCGCGATCTGGCCCCCCTCGACCTCCGAAAGCTCCCCCCTCTTGGCTCCCCCGCAATCGCAAGCCCGCAGCCGCAAGACCACCTCGAGTCCCTCCTCCGAACCCCCAAGCGCACAGCAATCAGCTTGGCGACAAGCCTCGGCATGCACCACCCGAGGGAATAGCGATTCTATGCACCCCCTCTCCGTCCTCAGCCTTGGGATCTTCGTAGCAGGCTACATCACCGCCCGATGGGATCTGGTTACTCGCCTCTATGAGCTTGCCATCTTTGCTTGGAACTACGGAGTCGTGGTAGGGACCTCCCTGCGCCGCCCCCAACTTCACACGCCTCTGACCAGCTCTCTCTCGATAGACCCGCGCTGCCAAAGGCTTTGCGCTTCTGACCTTTGTATTCCTCCTCGTCTTTATTCCCGTGGAACGCTTGGCCACGAGGGAGTCGAACCTGGTACGACGAGTCCCCCCGATGCTCGCCCCTGAGACATGTGTGGTTGCGCGGGCGCAAAGAAGCTTCCAGCTGACAACAACCTCACTCTTCAGCATCCCAGATCCCCCGGAGCTGGCGTCTCAGCCAGGGAACAGTTGCGACGGCGAGGGTCCTTCTAAGTGCCGTCTCCCGCTGCTGCGCGCGTGGTTGACATGCCAGAGAATGATGGATTAATGAGGATATTCTGGCCGACGGACATCCAGCGCTCCGACCTGCCTGGCGTTGTCGTGGGATGGAGGAACTCGAGCCTAGACGTCTTCGTCGTAGCCATCCTTGACGATGTCGATGTCAGCACACTCCAATACCTAGACCGACGAAATGGACACCAATTGACGAAGCAACAGGCCGGCCATGTCGAATTCGCCCTGAAGGCGGGAACCCTTTTTCGCAACTCCCCGCACCCTGTCAACAGCATCTACGAGCGATGCGGCCACGGAGCTATGCATGTCTTGGGCCTCACCAATCCGAGTGATGCGGTGGTCCTGGACCCATCCTTGTTTGTTGCGACGACCCCAGCCAATGCGAAGGCACCTCGAATCACTTGCGCCAGAGCTCTAAGCATACAGATTATCCTATACGACCGACCGCGCCCCAGCCGGATGCAATACATCTCGTTGAACCCCATCTCTCTTGCGCTCGGCAACAAGGAGGCACCGGGCCTACCCCCGACAGAACACATGGCGGAGGAGGAGAAACACGAGTTGAAGAAAAAGGAACAAAAGAGGAAGCTGGTGGAAAAGTTGAAGCAACACACCATTGTCAAGCGGTCTCCGTCACCGAAGGAGAGAGCTTTGCCGAAAATCGTGAACCAGATCAACTGGTCCTGGGAGCTCGAACAACTGTTGCAGAAGAACATTTCTCGAATTGGCACCAGGCCTAAGCGGACCCTGAGCGTCTCGGAACGAGTGGTGGAACAAGCGACAACGATGCGGAATTTTGTGTGGGATCTCTTCATCCTCTACCTCCTCCCGCTGATACAGTGGGGCTTCGTCTACATGCTCATGGGCCACAGAGCGGTTGCTGAGTTTCTGCTTCAGATCTTGGAGTTCAGGTTGAAGGACAATTACCTGGCGTTGAAGGATATCTCGGCGACGGCGCAGCAGGTGGAAATTCGGTTGCAGCAATTCTGCTATTGGCCAATGCAGTACACGACGCTGCGACAGCGCAAAAACGACTGGGAGAGCGTCACGACAAGCCACCCGGACTACATTAGGTTCTACAACAGCCTGTGGCTCGTCGCCAACGACGTCATCATCGGCATCGCTCTGGGGTCGTACATAATCGATAATGCGGAATGGGTCGCCAACGCCATCAGCGAGCTCCTCAGCAAGTACACGGTTCAAGCGCTTCAACGCAGCATCTCATGGTTGATGGGATGGCCGGCCGGATTGAAGCTGAACAGCGAGTTGGCTATGTTCCTCGGTGACCTCTTCCTTTGGGTCATTGACTATTGGTCCAGTATGTTTCCCCGTATCAGATGAAAGCTCTGTACTAACGTCTCAGACTGCATCGTCACCCTCCAACCAGTGCTTCCCCACATCATCTGGTTCATCGGCTTCTCAAGCTTCGCCGGCGCCAGCATGCCCATCGCCATGTTTTCCGACCTCCTTTCCGCCCTCACCGTCCACATCTACTCGTTCTACCTCGCATCCGCCCGCATCTACCACTGGCAACTGACGATACTCATCTCGCTCTTCCACCTCTTCCGCGGCAAGAAGCACAATGTCCTCCGTAACCGTATCGACTCGTGCGACTACGACCTGGACCAGCTGCTTGTCGGCACCATCCTCTTCACCCTGCTCTTCTTCCTCCTGCCAACGGTGGTCGTGTTCTACCTGAACTTCGCCATCGCCCGCATGGTCATCATCTCCCTCAAAGCTGTCTTTGATACGCTTCTTTCTTGTTTAAACCACTTTCCCCTTTTCGCGCTGATGTTACGGGTCAAAGACCCTCGACGACTTCCAGGTGAGATCTCATTCGTATCCAATCGAGTAGCCATCGAACTAACATCACCAGGCGGCATTCGTTTTGAACTTCGAGATACCCATGATTATAGACTTAATAATACTTCCAACGAACCACCCACGTCCGTCATCTACCTCAAGGTAAGCAACCTCTGCCTCCCGCTCTCACACATGCGCTCGCTAACAGATTACACAGTCCATCCCCCTCACCTTCCGCGCAATGTTCCACCAGTACTTCCAAATGGGCAACCGCATCCGCAAGCACTACCTGTCTCCGCAGGTGCTACTCTGCCTCCTGACAGGCCGCTTCGTGCCCCCGCTCAACCGCAAGAACCTGTACAGCCTGCAGTACAGCATGCTGCCCGCGCGCAGGGCCGGCATCCGTCAGATGTGGGACGCCATCACGACCGTGCAGCCCTCGAGGAAGCCCGTTCCGTTCGCGATGAACGGGCGAAGGTACCCCTTAGGGCTCGGAGGCGGCGGCAGGACGAGGTATCATCATTAGATATGAATTACATGTGAACTTTTTCCAAACGCTGCCTTTTTCTTGTCCGAGTCCCTCTCGGTGAGAACATGTATGATGCGTAGTCTACTCATAATCCTCACACCGTCGAATCTCCGTCAGCCCGCCACTAACCCACGAGTCCTCCGCGAACCCAAACATGTAACTCAGCCTCAAATCATCATCCACCCCCGTCTCCTGATCCGCGTACCCAAGACATTCTCCGCCGGCCCCCGGATCCCGCCTCGCAACCTCCGCCCGCAGACCCGCCGGCTCGGTGACGGTGTACGGGTGCCCGTTCCAGAGGCCGAAGAGCAGGCCGTTGCATGTCGCCACGCGGGCCTGCTCGGCGCGCAGCGTGATGGGCTCGGGGCCGTAGAGGGCGGTGAAGACGTCGGTGATGGCGGCGAGGGCGGGCAGGCCTGGCCCCGGGAGGGTGGTTGTCGTGGAGGCGGTGCAGGTCCAGTAGGATGGGGCGGAGCGGGCGGTCGGGGCGGAGTGGGAGGTGAGGGAGGGTGGGAGGAGGAGGTCTATGAGGGGGAGTTTCTGGGGGTGTTAGATGGGTTTGCCGGTGTATGGGGGAATGGGGAGGGGGGCTTACCATGGTTTCGTCAAATTTTGGTGTAGAGTTGGCTCAGTGGGTTGTGGTCGATGCGATGGAAACTGGGCTGTGCTGAAGAAGAAGCGAAGTGCTGGCTTGAGGCGAGCTTATCTACTGAGAGGGTGGGGTTCTCGACAGATTTGATTCAGGGGCTGGCCGCACAAAGGTGAGATCTCGGGGGATACGGACGGGTGGCACGTAGTGCGGACAACGGTCGAGTGTCAAGCGGTTTCAGTCTTGAGTGCCCTCGTTAATGATGAGATGGCTGCATACGGATGAGATTAAGAACAGGACACACGAGGCATAAGCGAATTGGAAGCATGGAGTGGAGGGAATCTACATCTATGATCTAAATAGAATCTAACTAGGTACATGGCTTGGCTGGCTCGTCTTCTTTTTCTGGCTGTCTGGCTCGGATCTTCTAAGCTTGATGGTCTTGCAGGCTTGATGGTGTTCTGGCTTGATGATGTTCTGGCTTGGTGGTGGGTCTTGATGGTTCACGAGCTTGACGGCTGATGGTTGGAAGGCCTGATGGTGGTCTTGCTTTTGAAGGTGGGTGATCTGGCTCGATGGTTGGAAGGCTTGATGGTTGGAGGGCTTGACGGCCTAGTGCAAGTGGTGGCTGGCGGCTTTGTGTGCAGCGTTTGTGTGTGGTGCATTGTGTTGTTTGGTTGGTTGTGGATGTGGTACAGCTTGACTTTATGCGATCAGGCATGGCTGTAGTGTCTGTTGTGCGTGGTGTGTGTGGTGGAGTGGCCTGGCAATACTGAAGTCCAGCAAAAGCTTCATAGGCTGTGTCAAGGGCCTGATCTGCGAAGTCGTGAATGGCGGAGAGTGATGATTTTGAATTCTTGTGAGCTGAAAAGGGCATTCAGTCTGAATCAGAACCCTCAACAGAAGGATGTGAGATACTGTGCATTGCCTTTGTGTTGACATCGGCGCATTCAATGAGTGTCTATCATTGAAGGGAAGAAGACTATGCCGATCTCCGTGAAGGTTTCTGAGGCCATGCGCTGTATAAGTAGGCTTTGTGATGCTCAGAGTCTATGAGGTTGATAACGAGCTACAGGGCTGGGCGTACTCCTGTTTGACAAAGTGCAACTCTCATGCTGAGGTCTGAAGAGTGTGTCTGAAGAGTGTGTCTGAAGAGTGTGTCTGAAGAGTGTGCACATTTCTCAAAGGGGCTGTGAAGAGTGATGTGTGGCTCCGAGTCTTTGTGTTGAGGAAACTCTCTAAGAGAAAGTAAAAGTTTCTTCAGCGATGTTCGAAGGATCATCATGACTTGAGGTTCAACGTTCCTGCGATGGCCGAAGCCTGTTAGCCACGTGAAGCAACAATGCCTGCTTATCTGCCTTCTGCTTAGCAAGTCGGACCAGCTTTGATCATCAACCAGTACCACCCATCCGCGTAGCGGTGACACGAAAGGCGTGGATGGGATAAGTATATTTGTGATAAGCAAGCACCAGCAGCGTGCCGTGCAATAGAAAGACCAAAAAAAGAAAAGGGGACTTAGCCAGCACGCGCAAAAAAACAACACCATAAGCTCACTGGACAGAGGCCTGGCCAGAGATCGCATCCGCAGCAAGGAAACTGCTCATCATCGATGAGGAATTCCTCGGATCGTTCTCCGCCGCCGCCGCCGCCGCCTCCTCCTCCTCCTCCTCCTCCTCCTCCATCTCCTCCCCCACCGCCATCTCCACATCCGGCTCAGGGCGCAGGGCCGCCACCCACTCCTCCCGGCTCCGCTCCCGGTTCACCTGCATGCCTAAAAGAAAGGCCTGCAGGGCCGCGAGCATCTCCACCTCGAGCCCCAACACCACCACCGCAACACGGGGCACAAAACTCCCCAGCAAACGCCACAGCCGTCTCACGTGACGCAGCAGCCAACGAAGCCTCCGAGGAGGCCTTTTGAAAAGGGCCTTGAGGCCCGTTGCCCAGAAGAGAGCACAGCACGCGAGAACCAAGACAGCCCACAGAATGCAAGCACACCAGACGACAGACACCAGTATTTGCCTATAGTAGGCTTTGACGAACTCGAGGAGGACCCCAGCAATGAGGCTTTGAGCGATTGCAGCTACTATACTCAGTTAGCAGAAGAACACAACAATAGTACGGGACAAGGACGACGAGGGCTGACGAGGACAAGGGGAGAGCACGAAGATGACGGCAACGACGGTGACGATGAAGGCATGGACGAGAATGGTGATGCTTGGGATGTGCTAGACAGAATATCATGAAGCACTTACGCCAAGTGAGAGCCATTTTTGCTTGGATGACTTGGTTCGCTGAAGAGAAGAAGAGAAGAAAACATCGCCAGGCATCGTGACGGCAGACATAACTATCAATGTCTAAATCTGGTGGCCATAGGAAAGAGCAGCGCGTGCCTTTTAGATTTGCGAAGCGCTCTTACTTTCAGGAGGCCGGGAATGCATATGGAAAGGACTCTCCAGCTGTAGACTATTATACTGGCAGTGTAGCGAAGAAGCTATTCAGGCTTACACGAATGCAGTCACGATAGCGGAAACTCCGCAGTGTTCTTGCAACAATGTGTTCTATTCGGTGCAATCAGGGAAGGCCTACGGACTGGCGTCAATGGGACTTGCAAGGGTGTAGCCGTGTAAGTTGGTAGGTTCGGCGTCAGGTGTTTCCCGCTTCTGGGGATTTAGCTCATGTGAGCCAGTGATAGCTTCCGTACGTGAGTACAGATTCCCGTTTGGGGGCCTGTTTGAACGAGGAGCTCTTGTAAGTTTCTCTGCGATGGATGGCACTCAGGCAGGCACTGCGCTGGGCATGGACAGAAACCCCAGGAAGTAACGAGGTATCTTTACAACCACCTCATGCATCAGAGCAGGTGCAATGGAAAATGAACGAACGATCGGGCTCCATTGGCTACTCGCTGAGAACACAGGCTCTTACTCGCTTGAATGGCTATTAACTTGCCTTTCCGGGTGTGGAGCTTCGCAGGTTACGGTCCAGGCTCAGAGGCTTCAAATTACCAACAGGACAGACCCCCGTTGAAACGCGAGTTTTCGAACAATATCAATCGTTGAATTGAGATGCGGATACCTATTTTCGTGGCTTGGCCTCTGTCCGCCACGTGGGAACCTTGAGGATGACACAAACCTACTCATATATGTGGCCCTCGAAAAAAACTTCCTGTCCATGGGGCGTGCCCGTTCCAATGCTATCTTGAAAAGGGTGACCACCAACGGATCACCGTGCAAAACCAATCCACCCAAGCGACATCATTCCAATCGAAGCATGGACACTGACGAGGAAGATTTGATCCAACTGGACACAACCCCGACAAGCTCTTCTGAGTCCGCCAAAGATGTGGACTTATCCCCCTACCACCAAGGGCCGACTAACGCTCCGCTACATATGGAGGCTGCTATGAAGCCGTTGCCTCCCCTCCATGAGCTAGAGGACCTGGAGCTCGAGAGACTGAGTCAACTCTGTCTACCGCGATGGGATAGCCGGGAGTTTTGGCGAAAAAAATCCAAGGCGATTCGACCCGAGCGAGTCGAGTACGCCGCATTGCTACGAAAGTCACCAAGCCAGGCATGGAAGCGAGCTATGCAGCAACTTCAATCTGGATTCTGCCGCAGCAGGCCTCTTGAGAAAGCCATTCCCTTCAGTCAGCCCCGCATAAACAAACCATTCCTTGGGGCTATGTCCATTATACTCTACGACATTCAGTTGCAGACAGGGAGCCAAGGAAACACCCTTGCGTATTCGCAGACACCACACCAAATTAACTCCAGACTGGCCACTTTGCATGACCTAATCTGCATGGTCAACCAATCGAACACATATCTGTCGCTTACCGCTCATTCTGTATTCGAGCACATGCTCCTCGTAGATTACGGCATGGAGGCGCCTCCTGTGAGGGTATACAGACCTTTCGCCGACAAGAAGGCCGAAAACGATATGTGGAAATGCGACTGGCCGATGTGGCATGCGTTATGTGCCGCGGTCAGCGAAATCGCCCAGAGCTGTACCCGTGGAAGACCGGTCAAAAACATCATTCGCAAGGCTGTCATTTGTCTCCGCTTCTTGGCATCTATCTCCCCTGCAGCGGGTGCTGTGTTCGGCAAGTCACACTATGAGTACGACCTTGCTCTCATGTTGCATCACTACCACACTCGCCGTACACATCTTCAGCCTCTAGAGTACTGGAAAGGTCGAACCGGATATCAAGGAATACTACAGGAGCTCATCAAAGACGTGCCACGAGTCGGGACGGAAAGATTGATGAGGAAGCTTTCCGTTGATTTCAACGAAAATATTGACAAGTTCGTTTCTGATTACGCTAAGCGTCGGGCGATGAAGGCAGTCGCCAAGCGCGTTGCAGTGAGACACGGGATTGAATTAGTTGCGCCAAAGGCAACAGGGCTAGGGACACCTTTGATCGAGCTGTACTATAAGAATGGCCTGCCAAAGAGAGAACAAGACTGAGGTCCTGTACTGAGAGCTTAGCGAAACGTGTAAGCATCCAATTAGCTTAGAAAACAGAGATTATTCCTAGCTTTGAAGACATAAACCCAGGGGCCCATCGCATCTGTCTATGGTGTAGGCTCACAGAACATATGCCTCTCATAACGTTGTCATTTCTTACGTGGAAAACACTCCAGAAAGCTCCTCCAGCTTGTGCGCCTTCATGAAATCCTCCCACGTGACAGGCTTGACAGTTGGATACTTTCCATTCTGAACATCGGGTCCAACGAATGTCCGACCATTGATCCAGTAGTACATGTAAAACCTGATGAAGATTAGCGATTGTCATTAGATGCGGCTGGACAACCTACAAAGACATGTACTTAAAAATGTCTGACGGATTCTCAGCCTGGGCGCGTTGCATGGTGGATTTGAGATCATCAATCGATCCCAAGCGTTCCATCTGCGGCTTAATTCCGTAGACCCTTTCGAAAGAGGCCGCAATTTCTTTGATGGTCTTTCTGTCTCCCAAGACTAGAACGTATTAGAAGAAGCTCATATGATTAGGACACAGCTTTACTTACACCTTTGAACACCAACAGCGGAGGGATCGGTCGCAACCGCCGCCGTGTACTCAGCGGCATTCTCGTAAGAGGTACCCTCCCACGGCTCGGTGCCCTCGCCCCAGTACTTGAACGTGTGCTTGACGGGGTCGACGACGAAGAAGAAGGGACTCATGATGGCGTCCATAAAACCTCCAATGAGAATGTGGACGCCCTTGACAGACTTCTTGGTTTCGAGGTACGCCTTCACATGCTTCATGGGGTCCTTGGGGAAGAGCTCGCCGAGTTCGAGCTTGGTGTAGTCCAGAGCCCAATCACTGGCGATGTATCGAGGAACCCCCTCAGACTCACACGCATCGATGAGAATTTTCTGTCCCTCGACCATGAGCTTGTCATCTCCAAGGTATGCGCAGATAACGACATCGGAGCCCTTGACGAAGTTTTGGATCTTTTCCTCGTCGTAGGCTTCACCTTGGAACAGCTGGACTTGTGGAGAAGATGCCAAGGGCGCGATGACCTTCTTGGGGTCACGGCAATAGCCTCGGAGGGTGACATCGGGGTTTTGGATGAGTTTGGAAGCAAGCAGGCGTCCAAACTTGCCGGTAATGCCAGCCAAAGCGACGGTGAAAGTCATGTTGATGAGTTGATAAGTTGTAGGAGAAGTAGTAATTCAAGAAGCTGTTTGATGAGATCGATATCCGTTCCTGGAAGATACCATTTGGGCTCTGAATACGTTTCTTTTAAATGCCAAAATTACCTGATCTTTCAAGTTGAACTGGACCTCGACGAGACGCCGCATATGTCATCAGTTAGTCCGTCAGGCTCCGAAAAGCACCTGTTCGCGCCGGGCCATTACCAATTATCGCGCTCTCTGATGACGCAGCGTCAAGAAGCCTGTTCTGAAACGGCACAACAAGACTACCGAGAATAGCGCGAGGTTGTGGGCAGACCTACCAGGCCGACGCCGGGTGGATCTCCCGTCGTCAGGAGCTCCGGCCTCCGACCTTGTCCGACGTAGAGTGCTGCCGTAATCATAACTAGCCCGACCCGGTGTGGCAGACCATCCGACTTTGTCATCTCAGAGATTTCAATGGAAAAGTGCACTGAATCGTGCAAATGCTTTGTAGGGCTTTTCGGTGGACAGTAAATTGTACAATGTCCAGCAAGTGATTAATACATATTTGAAGGAACAACCGTCCAAACTGTGTGACTTCTTCCATCTCCAACAACACCCAAACATTTCCACATCTTCCATTCACGTCTTCTAAATCTATTCGATACAATAGAACTGAAGACATGTCACGCGCACTCCTCATCACCGGCGCTACCGGCAAACAAGGCGGCGCCGTCATAAACGCCCTCCTTGCTCGCCAGCCCTCGGACTTTCTTCTCCTCGCAGTAACACGAAACGCACAATCCGCCTCAGCCAAGAGTCTGGCCACAAAATCCAAGAATATCAAGCTCGTCGAAGGTGACCTCGACGCGACACCCGCACTCTTCGCCTCTGCCAAAGCCGCGGCCGGGGCTGTTCCCCTGTGGGGCGTTTTCTCCGTGCAAGCTCTTCAAACGAACAGCAAGAATGCAGACCACGAGACTAGGCAGGGGAAGGCTCTTGTAGATGAGTCAATCAAAGCTGGCGTGCAGCACTTCGTTTACAGCAGTGTGGAACGTGGCGGCGACGAGAGATCATGGAGCAATCCCACTCCGGTACCGCATTTTATCACGAAACATCAGATTGAGCATCACCTGCGCGACTCCACGGCAAACGGAAAGAGTCCCATGGGATGGACGATCATCCGCCCAGTTATTTTCATGGACAACCTTCTGCCGGGTTTCTTCGGCAAAGTCTTCTTCACCATGCTGCGCGACACCATGAAGGATAAGCCTCTGCAGTGGATCGCGACAAAGGATATCGGCTTCTTCGCGGCGGAAGCTTTCCATCAACCGGCTACGTGGAATAAGAAGGCTTTCGGAATCGCGGGAGACGAGTTGACCTACGCGCAGCTGAGTCAGACTTTCGAGAAGGTCACGGGCGCTCCCACTGGGACGACTTTCGGACTGCTTGGCAAGGCGCTGAAGCATGGAGTTTCGGAGATTGGAGTGATGGTGGATTGGTTCAAGAATGATGGCTACAAAGCTAATTTGGCGGAAGCCAAGAAGGTTCATCCCGGTTTGACTAGCATGGAAGATTGGCTGAGGGACAGTGCTTTTGTGAAGAAGCCATAGCTGTATGCGGTTGAGATGGTGGCTTGTAAAAAGGTAACATTGGTTGCGAGTAATAATGTGTATCAATAATAGACAGTCTGACTTTGATCCTAATCGCTTTTCAGCTTGCTTTTGAGCTGGCACGGCAATTCGTACTCGCGTGAAGTTGACTTATGCTGAGTTTGGTCTGTAAAAGCCTGTGTACTGAAGTTCGAGGTAGTTGGTCGGTCTCGTTTGCCCAGAAGCTTGGCTGTTTTCAAGCCAAGACACGTTTCCTAAAGCCCCTATGTTCAGAGTTTGTTCCTGAGTTCTTGTTGAATTCAGTGGCTGACTACTGTCACCCCGGAAGACTCAATGTGCTTCCGAGTGGGAAACTCGACGCAATCTGTTGATCTTGAACTCACGATTTAGGAAGTAAAATCCGCACACACTTGGCATGTTCACAAGAGCTGATGTGCCGATTCTCGACGAATTTCATGCAGAGCCACCGTCCCTTCAGTTCGTCCCAAGAATCGGTGTTAGTCAAGGATTCCCGGTGCTATCACACGTCTGGGACCAGCTCACATGTCAATCAAGTCTCAGGAACCCGCGCCTAGGCCGAGATAAGGCACATGGTTCCGCATCGAGACACTTCGGACTCCCAAGAGTCGAGCTGAAATGCAGGATGCCTTGTCTTGAGCCAGATCCCGCCCGAGCTCATGCCGCAGCCCTGCAAGATGAAGGTCACGATTTCTTGTGTGCGCGTCTTGGATCTCCGACAACCGCTACTGTCCAATTAGACTCAAACAACCACTTTTTCTGTCAACCAGGATTGGATGATCAACCTGAAGCCAATTTTGGATCTGCGCCACAGGTGGAAAATGTCGTGATTTCGACCCCGTTCCCCTCTCTGGAGGTTTGAAAGCCCATGGCACAGCAGCCAGGCGCTCCAATGGCGGCCTCTTTCTTGCGAGCGCTCAGACGCGAGCGAAGAGAGATTCTCGTAACTGGCCAAGTGAAATGATCTGCCCAGGGGTTCATCACAGCGTCGTCATTCCTATCTATCGTCTTGCTGCGTTTCGCGTTTCTCATCCTGGCTAGCTTCCCGTGTTGGTGTCTCGACTTTCCCGGCCAACTGCCCAATTCGTGCACGGCCTCGGACCTGCGATTTCTAATTATTAATTCTTCCCCGATTTTTCGTTGCTACCGACGATCTGGATCGCGTGCATGGACAACTGTCAAGAAAACACCGCGGCTTATTGTGCCTGATGGCGGGGTTTGACACGATGTCAGAATTCAAAGGTCACCCACAGCCCCCCCATCTTGGGATTTTCAGGAGTCCCACTTGGCACTCAACGACAGCGGTTTCTGGGCGAGTTGCGTTTCAAGCCACTTGACAAATGTCACAAAAGTGTCAAAGACGAAACCCCCCCTCCATGCAAAATAAATAAAAATTTCTCGCGGCGGGGTAAAACGAAAAGAAACGAAAAGTAATCGCTTTGCAATGGTTTTTCGAATTGAGGCGTTTTTTAACTGACATGCCACTGTTTCATTGCAGTTTCCATTCTTGCCGTCTTCCCCGGGATGGCTCATGACACCCTAGACGGTCTTGACAGCCATGATCGACTTAAGATCTACAGCAACCGAGCAGCTTTCCTGCACCTCGAGACCTTTGACGTCTTCCACCGCGTTCTATCCGGTCCACACGATCACCAACCGCCAATAACGTCAACATGCAGTCGGAAGGGAGCTTTGGCATTCCAGAGGGCTCTACCGTTCTTGTGACGGGTGTGAATGGCTTCATCGGTTCCCATGTCTGCAGTCAACTGCTACAGCTTGGTTTCGATGTCCGCGGGACCGTCAGAGATCCGACAAAGTACGCCTGGGTCGAGTATTTGATGGAGAGGGACAACCCGAAAGGTTGCTTCACGCTGGCCTCTCTGCCGGACCTCGAGGACGCGGGGGCCTTTGATTGTCTTGTTGATGGTTGGTGTCTGGAATAGAACAGTCTGGCTCCTTTTTAATGACTTGTGCATAGGCGTTTCGGCTGTCATCCACGTGGCCTCGCCAGTGTCTTTGAGTCCCGACCCAGAGAGCGTCATTCCGAACAGCATCAACGGCGCCATGAATGCCCTCAAAGCAGCCAACAGATCGCCAACTGTCAAGAGATTCGTCTTGACTAGCTCGTCGGTTGCAGCGGCTCTACCAAAGCCTGGTCAGAAAGGCGAAGAGGTGACAACAACAAGCTGGAACATTGAGTCAGTTGCGGTTGCGTGGGGGAAGCCTCATCCGCACCAAGCATGGCACGTCTATGCGGCAAGCAAGATTGAAGCGGAGAGGGCAGTCTGGAAATTCTACAACCAAGACAAAAGCTGCCGTCCAGACTTGGTCGTCAACACAGGTAGTTTCTCTGCCAATCTTGTTAACAAGTAGTTTGCTGATGATTTGAAAGTGCTCCCTAGTTGCAACTTCGGCAGGAGCCTCGATGTTATCAATCAAGGCCACCCTTCAACATCATCGTTCATTGAAAGTCTGTGGTACGGGATTAACATGGACCAACTGGCGTGTAGTCCTCCGCGTAGGTTCTACTTCGCATCATTAAATGGTGATTTAGCTGATGGAGAGTTTAGAGCACTTTGTTGATGTTGAAGACACCGCAAGGCTTCACGTTGCCTGCGCCGTACTGCCAGAGGTCCAAGGCGAACGAGTCTTTGCGTGGGCCGAGCCTTTCAACTTCGATGCCGTGCTAGACATTTTGCGCAGCGAGTTTCCCAACAAACATTTCGTGGAGAACTTCCACAACTACCGCGATCTATCTACCGCAGAGAAAGCAAAGTCGCGAGCCGCCCAGCTGCTGCGACGAATGGGGAGGAACGGTTTCACTTCATTGGAGGAGAGTGTTTTACTAAATGTTGACGATCTGCCCTAGGTAGCAGATCAAACCTTTGAATCTTAGGAGGGACGGGGTTTTGGTGTTTCGGGGAAGACGCAACACGACCACAGGAGCAAGCCATGGAACTTGCACCAGAAGGAACGACACTTTCATTCATCCATACATATTTACCAACTACTTTACTTTGGGATACGACATCTCCCAGCTTCAAGCATGAGTTGGCCATAGCGCTAAGCTGGCATGCAGGGTGCGGATGCAACCCGCCATTGAGGTGGAGGACCAGGGCCAACTCTCCACTCCTTAGCCAAAGGCCAAGGCTTAAGGCCGCAATATACGTCATTTGAACAATGCATGAAGGGTGCTACTGAATGCCATCTGATCTGCTGAAAGTGACTATGCATTCCTAGTTGTTGATTGCGTCTGGTAGTCATGGATGATTGCTAGCTTGCTATGGATGTAGTGACTCCCCGCAGTTCAAGGTCGAGAACTCCCCAGATCCACACGTTTGCCATTACAGACACCATCGCAGTAGTTTGAACAAGCCTATTCCAAGGCCATCTTCGAAGTCCCGCGCGTGATGGCTTGCTACAGTCGTGGCAAGCACCGTACCTGCTCGAAGGAACCCGTGTGTCCGTCAACCACAAAACTCTTCCCATCGAAAGAAACCCGTTCATAGCTCCACTAGTTATTTTGTCAGAGGTTTGTAAGAGCAGAAAAAGCAAGCAGGAAAAGTCGTACTATTTACTGAGACCACACTTGCAGGCCGAGGGTAGGGTTGTCGGTGGAGAGACGGGACGTGGAGCAACTGTCGCCAGCGCCAAGAGGGACGCAGACGGATCCGTACACGCAGAACAAAAGCCACTTGTTGGAGGTGTTCTTGACGGAAAGAGTCGTGTCGGTCATGGTCATGGAGCCGTAGGAAGGAGAAGTCGCGGTGTACGTGCTGCCGCTCTGGGAGAAGCTAACGCTGTCGACAGTGCCACAGCCGGGGCATCCGCCATCGCGGACGCACTCGGCGGCGAAAGCCGCAGGGACGAGAGGGGCGAGGAAGGCGGCGAATTTCATCTTGAGACTGAAGACTTAACGAAAGTTGAGTTGTGGCTATTGACAAGGGCTGCAAGTATTGATCACAGGCGGTGGTGGCAGCAGAAGAAAGTCATCTCGAGTAGAGAATCTCCTGGGAGTTTATATGCTCACTCACCGGCCTCCCACCAGGTAACATCGCGTTCTACGGACACTCAATCTTACGATGCCATCTATTGCCGTTCTCGTTTTCGCAACATTGCATACCTTGCGCCACCGTTGTGCATGAGAGTACATCACCGGTTGCCATCGGGATGCACGATCAACGCTCTCTATCTGAGTTCATCTCGGCTCGTAGGTTCCGAAGAGGCAGTTGGGCTTCCCGCGCGCTACCGTACGGTAGTATAGATGCGACACTATCCCCGCATACGGTCGCCATATTTAGTCAGGCCACTGACTCGATTTAGAAGTCTATGCCGATGGAACCCCAGCCCGGGGATTTGTAAAGTCTTTTAAACAAGGCCGCGATCGGCAGATGTTGCTTTCTAACAAGCGATTAAACCGGTTTGTATACCTCGGTAGGGCCGGAATGGCTCAATTGACGTTGTAAGGTGGAACGGTTCGTCTGTTCTTGTTTCTTTGCCAAGATGCCCCTCGACAGAGCTCTCAACAAGCTTATTCCCGACTGACGTTGGCTGGACCGGGTATCTTCAGCGGGGAAGCCAAGTGGCAGCCGCAAGACAACCTAGTGCAAACAATCTGCAGATCATCCCGCAGCAAGGAAAGCCAAGACTTTTGGAATGCTCCTTCGAGGAAATCGTTTCCAGGGGCAACCGAAACGGTAAATCGGGAGCGAAATAGTTCCGAGTTGATTGCAAGCAGCGTCAGGGGTAAGACCTTAGCCGACCAGACTTCAGCCAGGTCTGGTTTATCAGTCACCCTAAAAAGGTAGTTGTCTAAAGACACATGAAGGCTGGAAATCGATACGAATTCTTGTAATGCTGGTGTGGGCACTGATCTTCGTGGGGTATATGATGACGATCTTTGATTGCTAAAGACTCCTTAAAGACTCCTGCTTGACTAGAGCAATCATGCGGATGTCTCTGAAAAGATGACGTGCACGGTTACCGTATGAGATCACCTTTTCATCAAGTGAAAGTGTCGGCTTGCCAACCGTGCCTCGAGTTCCTCATCACGCTATCTTCCCCTCATCGACCCTTAGAACTCTGTCGAACATGTCTAGCCCCTCAGTGTGATGTGTCACAATAATCATTGTACTCTTAGGATGGGTGCTGAGAATGTTATGGATCATGGCCTTATGGGTCATAGTATCCATCCTTTTCAAAGTTGATGTTAGCCACGGCCCTTGAAGAGGGACAAGATGCGAAACTCACCCACTTGTAGGCTCATCCATGACATACAGAGCGCTTCTTCTCAGCAACGCCCTCGCAATACCAAGGCGCTGTTGCCAACCAAATGAAGAGTACCGAGAAGATTCCCATGCTTGATCGACGTCAATCATGGCTTCGTCTCGGCCATTGTACGACAAACCGACTGACATAAGTCTAATCATGTCCACAACATCAGAAAGAGAGTGGTCATCGCCGGGGTCCAGATTTGTCTTGACGCTAGCCTGTCCGTTGTAGAATGAGAATTGAGGTGCTCCGACAAGTCTCTGGCGAAGCAATTGAGGTGAGACCGTATCTAAGTCGACACCGTCTATGTGGACGGAGCCGCCGGTCTTTGTTATTAGCCCAAACAGAAGTTGAGCCAAAGAGCTTTTCCCGCTTCAAAGATTCAGTAAATCTTTCCAGATAAAATAAAAACCCTTGAAGCTTACCTCCCGGTTCTTCCAACTAAGGCAATCTTTTCGCCGGATCGGATGTGAATTGATACGTTGGTGAGAACCTTATGATCACTGGAAAGATACGATTATGGTGGGTTTCCTGTGAGTGATTGAGCCGGGAGACTTACCCGTACGCCGCCGAAACATCACGAAGGACGACCTCACCTTTAGAAGGCCAGTCACCTATTAGCTGTTCCACATGCGCCCCAGCACCGTTTGCCGATCGACGGTTCTTGCTAGGGGTTGTTGCAATAAACTCCCTGATGCGTCGAACGACGCCCAATTGTGCTTCGAGAAGAGTCAACCAATTCATGAGCATCTTCAAGTCAGATCCTAGTGTAATTGTGTTCACCAGAGCAACGCCAGCCCAGCCAACGTTGACCTTGGACTTTAGCCCGACCAGGAGGGCTGCCAGCGTTCCCGCAACCCCACCGCCAAGAAGTCCAATCACAAGAAAAAGCCAAGACTGTAGAGATCGAAAGAGATATGCTGACTTGCTGGCCTGATAGACCTGATTGACGAGAGTGCTGGATGCGCTGTCCTGCAAATTGAAGGCTCGAATCGTCGCACGTCCGTCACAGCTTGCTCGCAAAGTTCCGATCACAGGTGCTTGTGAAGCAATTTGTAGAGTTCGAAGCTGTGAAGAGGTGGATAGGTAGCTGCGCTGGATGAAGTAGAGGGCAAAAAGAGAGACTGCGAGGCTGATCAGAGTGTAAACGGAACCTGCAGCCAGTACACCCATTGATGCCAGAACGGCGGCGATGGCTTTCATAGGGGAGCATCATGGTCAGCTGGAGTTCCTTGAATAGCCGGTGTGGTAGATCTTACCCCATGTCGAGTTGAGAACAGCCAGGGGAAGAGCGAGGTCAAGAACATTGACGTCGTTTGTAAATCTAAACATAAGGTAAGTAGGTGGAGCCGACGCACAAGAGACAGCGTGAACTCTTGTCTTTAACTGACCTATTGAGAGTTTCTGCGCCATTCGTCTCCAGAAAGCTGGCGGAAGAGCTGCAGAAGTGTGGTATCAGCACCATATACGAACGACCGAAAGCCATCTGGAGACTGCTTACCTGACCAAGACATCGAGCATATCCCTATGAATTGAGACTGCAGACTTTGGTATCATCCGGAGGAAGAACACACTGAAAGACCAATCTCAGTTGACTGCCGACCTTCGAGAGACTTCCCAGGATGAACTCACCCGCAGGCCACAAGGATACCGATAAACCCCGAACCGACAATGAGAGAGTATATCCCGATGTAGAAGCCAGGGGACCTCGAATAGTCGCCAGCTTGATATTTTCCTGTCCAATACGACAGAAAGAATGCTATGGCACGATCGCTCAACGCGTTAGCTATGGGAAACCCGAGGAAACCAGGAACGTACGGCTGGCTTTGTTTATGCCGGAGACAACACACGTCGCTGCTATGGATACCGCAAGATTCCATGCTCCAAATGACTTCATGTAATTCCCGAAATCACGCATCAAGAACTGTGTCTTTTTGACTCGAGGCGACTGAGCGGCATCTGCAGCCGTTGGCGTGGTCTCTGTGTTGAGAGTTTTTACCTTTCCGGTTTCCGTTGATGAACTCTTTTCTTCAGCCTCCACCTGTGGTCGAGAGTGAGCTGTTGAGTCAGTATTATCTTCGACTGTAGAGGGTCCCTCCAAGTCCATGACTGATGGATGTTGATCAGTGTCAATTGCCTCAGTCCGTCGAAGCATTCCTTCCACGATCGAGAGTGTTTCATGGGCGAAACTTGATGGTATCGTTGTCGTTTCCAGAGGCATGGCAGCCAGGATAGCCATTTCCTGTCTTCTTTGGGTGATAAAACCCCGCGGGCCAAACAAGGCTGTATTTATATCTCTTATGGTCTTGGCGTCAAGACCCGTGAAGACGTCATCGAGGATTAAAAGATCTGCTTCATGATATAACGCTCGTGCGAGGGCCAGTCGTTTCCTCTGACCTCCACTGAGAGAGGTCCCCACGCTGTCGACGACGATGGTCTCGTCACCACTTGACCACCGAGAAATATCGGGCCCGAGGCAGCAGCAGCTGAGAACAGCTGAGTAGAGTGTACCGTCGAAGGGGCGCTGCAAGATGATGTTTTGGCGGACAGTGCGGCCGGCCAAGAAGTATGGAGACTGATCGCAGAAGGCAATCTTGTTGGTGCCCAACTGTAACATGCCTGCAGAGATGCGAACCTCTCCCACGAGAGACTTCAAAATGATCGACTTGCCGCAGCCTGAGCTGCCCGTGACTACAGTCATTGTTCCCTTCTTAATGGTGAGGGAGACGTTATGAATGATTGCTTCAACGCCCCAAGCCAAAGATGCCTCGGAAAATCTTGCTAAGGTAGAGGCTTCCTTTTCCAGGCGAATGAGCCCGCTGACAGCGGTCTCCATCCCTGTGGCGTCGTTATGCCTTTCAGACGACCTGTCTTTGGGCTTCACGTAGGCTATAATGCGACCCCAGCTGACAACACCTTCGTACAATGCCGGAAGCATCTGGATGAGGGTAGGAAATGATCCGAGCATGATAGAAATAACCGAAAGAGCTGTGAATAGAGTCGAGTAGTCCAAGTTTGCTCCGTTGATAGCTGCGTAGATGCCAAAGGTCACTAGAAGTGACAGGCCGTTCACAGAGTCCGCTAGCATGAGGTTAGTCAAGATTGCTTGAAGCCCATAGAATAGTCATGAACTGACAGGCAAAGACCACTCCGATCAGGAATTTCCGGTACAGAGACATTGCCTCGATTTCGATCTGGCGATTTTCAAGCACTTCTCTCTCAGCCATGGCCTGCATCCCAGCTATGCGAATGCTTCGCGTCTTCTCAATGAGCTGGCCCACCGAGCGTATCCGACGCTCGGTAGCCTCCAGAGCGTAGCGTTGACTTTTCGTCAATTTGCTACCGAGGGCTATCGGAACACTGACACTCACGAGGGCCAAGAGCAGAGGCCCGATGAAGACCAGGGCGACGGCGTTGTACAAGAGATACGCCCCAACCCCTACGATGATCGTACTGGTGATAACGTCGGGGATTACTTTAAGAACAAAGACGGCCTGTGTCACATCCACATTTGCCAGGACTGTGACTTTTGCGCTCTCGGCGTCGTTCGAGGAGGTCGCTTGCGATGTCGCTGGCTCTAGAGATCTGAGGTGAATGCGGTAGGTGAGGTAAGCCCGAATGCGGAACGATATTTGGTCGACAATATGAGTACTCTGTGCAACGAGGATGTTGAGAAGGGTGAAGCTTGTAATTCAAGTTAGTTGTCGACTCAACACTTTGGGTGACCCCGGACTTGGGGATCCCACTGAAATCTGGGCAACTCACTCAATGAACAGAGCGACGACGAGCCATGAACCGATAGATGTATGACTTTCAGTCTGTAGAAAGGCTACTAAAGCGCCAATTATGATTGGCTGACAAAGTGTAGTCGCAGCTGTCAACGCAGCTAATATCACGGCCAACACGAACAAGAGGTAGGTTCGAAGGGAAGTGTCTCGGGCCATTTGCCTCATAAAAGAACGGTTCTCATCCTTCTTCGGATCTGCATCGGGCGATGGGAAGAAGGCCGAGGTTGGGTGGGTTTCGATGCGTTCTAGGTCGCTTTGCAAAATATCTCCTCTTTTCCCGGCCGAAAGAAGCGGACCGAGCCATCCCAGAAACATTAGGCTGGCAAAGCTTACTTCCTTCTCTCTTGATGGGAAAAGAGCATACCCGTTCGCCATCGCGTCCGATGGAGGGGAAGCGCCACTCAAACACGATATGACGAGCCCAGAGACGGCATAAAGGACTGTCGCTGTCGTTTGAATAGCCACTATGGCCGTAGATATTGGCGCGAACCCATGGTTAGTTATGACGGTCCATAGTGTCGCGAGTCTGAAACTGTCTAGGACCGCGAACCCGAGGAGAAGCAGTTCTAGTAAGTGTGATCCTTTTCGACTATTGGTGTAAAGTATGAGAATTATCAGCGCGCAGGTAATTTCTGTGACATGGCTCGGTAAGGTGGTTCCCGTCCGAATGGTGTCCAGGTTCGTCCGAGAGATGGAATAAAGGATGAGTGAAGCTACGTGAGCAGTGAATATCAGAACCAAGGGGACCTGTGAATCAATCAGAAAGATGTATCCCGATCGTGAAATCGATGAAACGAACCAGACGCTCCAATGCGATCAACCGATATGGCTTCCAAGTCAACCCCTTTGATAGCGGTAAGCCTTCAGCAATATTTACGGCGAATTTGGCCAACAGGGCTATCATAGCCAAGGCGCGAGGAAGGATGCATAGTATGGCATTGCAGAAGTCCAAAGACAAGAACACGGCGCCCGTGGGTGTCGAAGATATGGGCCAAGCCATATTCTTGAAAGGATGATGCGTCGCTCCAGAATGACCTGTTCGGCCTTCATGGCGGAACTCGGGGATCCCATCTCCAACAATTCGGAAGAATATCACTTTGTTCCGGGGCTTACTTGATGTGGCTGACAGGGGCCATTCGTCGAGGGCAATTGGTTGGAACGTGGTTGGGACTTTTGAACGGCGGCGCCGATCAGCGCACCACAGATGTTGTCGGCCAGGCCGTGGTTGAAGGGCAATAAGGAGTGTCGTAACGTCGCGGCAATAGCTTTACGGGAGAGCGCAAAGAAACACGATAGACACAACGAAATGTTTTGCGAACACACGGAAATTTGAGATAATCACGAACCTGGCATCAGTCAAGATGGGCATACGCTGTTACTTGCTTCATTCCAAGTAACAGACATGATGAATTGTCTTCCGCCTCTTAGTCTAACTGATTTCGAATCTAGGATGTTGTCTTGCTGTTCTTTAGGACGAACCGAGAGAGTTACTCGATAATCGTAATGCTCTCTTTATTTCGAAGACTCAACCCATTCGGGAACCGACTTCTTGAGGAACGTCATGAACTTCCAGAAACCAACAGCCTCTTCGACGTTGCCAGCGGGATCTACCACCCGCTCCGGGAAAGCTATGCCGGCCCCAAAGAGCCCGGGAATATAAGTGCGACCCTGAGCACTTGTCTCGCCAGGCTGAGCAGAGAATCTTCCGTTAGAAGCATCATGATAAACGGACAACGGTTGCGTCTCAGCGCCAGCCTTTTCAACGACGCCCAGGTCTGGCAGAGGGTTTCGTTGAAAGCCGATAGCTTGGATAAGGTGGGTGCAACTAGGAAGCTCCGACGCATACACGGCCTGCTCATCCTCCGGTGACATCAACAGCTTGGTAATGACCTTCTTGGCAGAGCTGTTTCCGAATAGTCGGTCCTCAAGATTCTTGCGAGCCCACTCCGCAGCCTCGCCCTTGAGGCCTGTGTTGTCGTACAAGATCCATCCATCCTTGTACTCGGCGTAGCGCAAGTCCTTGTGGCGGGTGAACCACTTGATACGGAGGTTCGGGTGTGATGTCGTCGCAAGGTTGTAGAGATTCATGAGAACCAGAACAGCTGAATGAGAGGCACCCACGACAGCCACTGTGGCATCAGAGGGTATCCTCCCACCCAAAGATGACGGTCTCAAAGCCGCATCCAGGTGCACCGTCACGAGATTCTCCGGCAATCCCCCCGTCATCAGCTGGGGCTGCGAAATCGGACTGGAACCAGTGCACAGCACAAGCTTCGACGTCTTTGCGTATCTCTTGCCATCCAGAGCAACTGTCCATTCTCTTGTTTGCTACAAAAATAGGTGAGTGAGGTTCATTTTAGATTTTGAGTGAGTGGGTCGCACCTTGTTCAGGATGGCGGATGTGACTTTGGCTCGACGCTGCTCTACGTTCTGGAAATGACGAGGAACGCCTTTGGAGAGCATCAAACAGAGGTCTGCCGCATACTTGAGCTCACAACCTTGGTCCTTTTGCAGCTGCTGAAGTGCAGTGAACGCATTGGGTTGCTCTGCGGCCTCCACAATCTGGCGAAAGGGCGCCACAGCCGTCGCAAAGTCGACGAATAGGCCTGCTTTTGTGTTGCTGGGAACCTGGCGGTAGGAAGTCCCAACCCGACCAGCCTGGAAAAGGCGATCGACCCAAAGCTGGCGGTGCTGCGGCCGATGCTCAAGCAGGCTGCCAATGGCAGCGAGCCCAGCTGGCCCGCCACCGACGACTACCGAGTCGACCAGGCGAGCTTCGGATATCGACTTGGCTGCGATTGAGGCCATGATCGAGTCGCAGGGTATGTTGAAGAGAAGAGAGGAAAATTGCAGGCGACGATGCCAAACTAGGTTAAATGAGAACTGTGCACGTTGTCCAATAATCGGTGTACAGTGGGTACCCAACTCCAGGGGCTGCTTCGCGCTAAGGACCGTGCCACTAGTACAGTGCTGACTGTACCTTTTTTGCCGTCAGGTGGTCCGTTATCTGGTGATTGAGACACTGCCCGATAACTGTCTCTCAATTTGACCCTTGCAAGTCGCTGACTCATCAGCTCAGCGGAGTCTATGAGTTGCTTTCCGATTTGTTGTTGTCGACGAGCAAGTTCAAGTGTTTGAACCTGAACTGAGAGCACCATGCTTGATCTCTACCTGCGGCTCATTCTCATCACTGACTTTGAGGTGGCAATCTCTTGCACTCAAGACTCAAGGCCACCACCAACACCAGCTCTCTTAGCCGTCGCGCTGAGTTTTAGTCCCCTGTAACTCGCTGTCGGCGTTCCCGCGACGACCTTCATGAAGCTCCTCATCCGCGATATTTCAATCAAAACATGCCGAGAGGGCTTCCTGGTTTTTCATGAGTCCACGCTTTTTGAAGCCATCATCACATGATACAAGGAGTTACTAATGGCGCTGTCGCGAGATTAAGTAATCCTCGGTGTGTCCTTCTCATTGCTGTCTTCATCGCTAGTGAGGCTGCTGTGAGTTTTAGTGCTTGTCATCCTGCGTGTCTGGAATCTAAGCTGAAAAATGTTTTCATGGCGGTACATTTGGATTTGTGGCCCTTTGGTCGTCAAGAAGTTGGTGTGGTTGCCGCGTTATTGTCACTTTAGCCCGTGTGGGTATAGCAACATTCATCAAGCCGAATTGAATTCAAGCAATAATGAGTACATGAACTCATTATAGGATAGTTGATTTCTTGATTTCTGTTCATTTTCTGTAAGAGTTATGTCTGTTGCCCTGTGAGCAGGTTTCTATCAGCCGGGAAGACCCAAACTTAAAGAACGGCGACACTGTGACACAGTCAAAGTGTTTCGCCCATGTATAATCTGCGCAGAAATTGCATAGTTTGCTTGGGTTATCGTACTCAGCTACTGCCGCAGGTGGACCTGGACAGCAAGAGTCCGCCGTAGCTTCTTCCAAAGGTGGCCAGTAAAAGTCACCACAACTTAAAAGGTAAATAGCGGTGAAAATAGTCGTGTCATGTGCGGGGCATGAACGGGGGCTTTTGCGTTTGCTGAGTCGCACATGTGCAACTGTCATTGAGGTGCAGAAAAGTATCGTCAATTGTAAAGTGTATTGTACAGGTTGAGTCATTCATTCATCAACGCTCTGATCTTGTCATGTCCCATGCAAACTCAGGGACTTCAACGCCGCTTGTGAATCAGTCTATCCCAAGTCTTGATTATGTCTTTCGCTCTCTCATTTATACACCGGCGCATGAGGTGTACTGCTGCACGGCCACCGAAGTGCTGGAGATCTGTCAGACTTCCAATCCGCTTACTACTGAGGTGGCAGAGGGGTCGTGCAAGACTTACCAAGCAGTGATACATGCGGCGTCCTTGGCGCAACCGTTGATGCAAGCAACTTGATCAGCAGCTGCTTTCGTTTCGCAGGCGGCAATGTCTCCGCCCTTGCCAGCGTCTTTCTTGGCGTCCACGGGCATGGCGGCGGCGTAGGAAGCAGCGAGGATGGTGAGAACGGCGGAGAAACGCATTTTGATATTTTGGTGTTATAATATTGACTTTATCGAGATTGAGTAAACAGTTGATTATTTCTTGGTGGATTGTAAATTGTTCGTGGTTGTGAATGTGTATGATATTGATGTTGATGATGATTTCAAAAGAGGAAACTGTGGGGTTTAAGAGGATCATTATATACACTTTCTCACGACTGTATCTGCACCCTCCTCAACGTATGATTCCATTCTGTTCTGCGAATACGATTACGTTTTGCTACATGGCTGCCGTACAGCCCGGCACGCCTGTGCAGAGGCCATGATGCCCCGAATGACGGGGCATCCGCTGTCAATCCCGGAAACGTCAGTGGATGACGTCTGTTGATACCCTGTATTTCTCGCAATAGCTTTCCACTTTGGGTTTACAAAAGAGGAGCCTGAGAACCCTATTGTAGAAGGTCCGTAGGGTCCGCGATGAATAGGAGCCTTGTCAACGTGGGTGGCATAATCTTGGTGGACAGGTGCCGCTGCTTCCACCAACAAGAAGTTGGGATGAAAAGACGGTTTCTTGGTAAGATACAGGGTCTTCGGCGCTAACCAAGCCTCGCTTCGATTGAAGGCCAGTGACGTGCCGGCAGTTGTTACTTTAGACGAGACGTCAAATGGGCGATCGGCGACGGGGATGGGCCTCCAAGAAGTCGGGGCTTTTCGAGGGACCGCACCACCACAATGCCTCGGACCGCTTCGGCGATATCGTGAAGAACATGTGAAGTAGGCCAACCCCGCCCGGACCATTACATCAGTGCGTCTGCCCAACTGGTATTCTCCGGCTTCCTAGAAGGTTCGACCATTACTCGATCTGGTAATGCGATCGTGGTGACTGGCAGGAACTCTGCCTAGATGGGACTGCCCGAGATCCTTGCTTAGATGCGATGGGTGGTGGCGCAACGGGCTTGCATACGGCCGCATCTAGTCTCCACTTGTCCGCCTTACTTTGTGACTCTACTGCGTGGATATCCGGGAATCTGGTAGCGTCGATACACACAACTGCCCGATCATGAGTGTTCGGATGGTGAAGTCACACCGAGGGATCTCGGAGGACGTGTTATGTCATCAACATCATCAGTTGCTTCAGCAACTCACAAGACTTTACGACGATCGTATGAGTGCCCGATCTGCGTCATCGCCGCGGCGGTCGATGCGAAGTTCCTCCACCCGAACCCACTCCGGCCCCGTCGGCATGACGCCCCGACGTCTCAACCACGGGGTCCCGCGGCGATGCTGTTGAGCCTCGGAAGCCTCGGCGGGAACGTGAAGTCTGATTCTCCAAATCTCTGATAAATGACCAGAGACTTTTCGCGGCGCCGAGTGGTGGAACGGGGCTATGCCAACCAGCTGGGACTGGTGACTAAACACGACCCTAGGTTTTGGCTTACTGAGCTGAGATGCTTGTTCAGGGTCTTGAAGGCCAGCATTCCCGGCCGATCCCATTTCGCTACACGCGATTCCCGACGGGAGGAATTGGAGGTAACCAATAGATGGATGAGCATTCGCCTACGTTCATAAGCTTAAGAAAATTCCCTCAGCCGATAGGGTCTAGATCAAAGACCCCGCATTACTCACGAGAACCTTGGATTCCTGCAAACATGATGGCACGTCGATTGGGATGGAAATCTCCGTATGATGTCAGAACAGTTCTCGCCTGACCACCATGCCACACCAAGCTGGGTCCGGAGGGATGTGCTTTCAAAGTCAACAGGCCACCCATTTCGCGCACAAAGTCGGGTGCTCTCAACACTATGTTCGTTCTCGTTCTTTCCTGCGATGCTAGACCATTCGCGAATGTGCACTAATTCATCAGATGTTGCACCGTGGCATGCAAGGCACCAACTCGCTGTCTAGACTACAATTGGAATCGGGCAGCGGCAGATGGAAGCCACTGAATTGATTAAGCATAGCAGTACCTGCGCAAGAAGCCCCAAAAGAAGGATAACCTTAAGTCGTTGGGCGAACATTGTGGAGCCATTGTCGGGACTTGATTGCAATGCTTGTTGCATCAATCAAGATGACGATAAGCGCGGCTTGTTCGCAACAACATAGCCTCGCCGTGATGCTCTGACCCTGATTTCAATTCATCGCTAACCAACAGTGGCAAAAGATTTCAACAAAGTCGAGCCATGGCCAGCTGATGGCATTCCCAAGCGGAGCCTGTGGGCTAGCGAAACAGGCTGTGGTTGCATTGAGTTGCCGTGGTTCCTCACACGTCTAAGCCTTTTTTTTCCTTTTTGTTTTTCCTTCTCGCGTATCCAGTTAGATCTCACAGGTCTAAGCCGAGGCCTTCCTGCCCTTCTGGATCCACGTCCAAGACTGACCGCACGTGATTATTTCGTCTAATGATCATCCTGATGTGCCGTTCCGGAGTTCCGGGGGTCGTTGATGAACTCGGAGCTCCGTTACTGCCGTATAAGCCATCCTTTAAAACGCATCGGACGCACTTCGATGCAGATGGCGCATCTAGGACATGTCTATTGAGGCCAAGAGAGGACCGAGACTCCATCCAATGTTGTAGACTCGTTACTACGGCTTACTGCCAGTTCCAAAATGAGACATTTCTGGTTGCTGGGATGACAGATGGAGACATGGTAAGAAATCAATTGGGCCAATCCACTCCAAACTTACAATGAAATCCAACTTGGTAACTTGAACGGGCACCACCGACAGCAGTTTTCTTCACGATGCCGGGTCGTGGGGGAGTCGGCCGATAATTACGGGGCTTTCGGTCTCGCATTCCGGCGTGATTGGCCCGAGCTTCGGTCGCTGTGGGGCTTTTGCGCGAAAAGTCCGGCTCGCACTTCATCGGAGGCCGGCTTACGCATGCGGCGAATGAGATTCAAATACAGCGTAGTAGGCAGAGACCTTTACGTAGAACGTAATCTAGCGCATTACTCGTGTGTGTAAAGAATTTGAATTATGTAATCATTCTTTTGATGATCAGGAGATTCCAGCCATGAAGAAGTGATGCTTGCGGCAAACCCTTTGACATGCATCAATGACGGGGCGCCATCTCGAGCATGGAGCCGCAAAGCAGTAGCCAGGCTGGAAAGTCGACATCCAGAGGCGCCGACGACAGCGCGTCTGCGAACTTATTCTCGTGCCACCAATGTCGATCACGAAAGCTGAAATGCGATCGGGTCCGGCCCCGTTGCGGCCGATGCATCAGGCTTGGAGACACTTGTGAATATCCTCAGTCCAGACGGGCAAATGTGGGCAGACGCAAAAGGGTTCATGAGTTGGAAACAAAGCTAGGTCAGTCATCCCAGTTGTGATGGTTCGCCGACATGAGACGGAGGAACAAACTCCTACGCGGTCTTTTTGAGCCAATGAGAAGCCTTCGCCAGCTTGTGTACGATGTGCCTGACACCTTGCAGATCAACTTGAGCAGCTCGCAAGAGCTGTGGAAAAGGCACCCTTAGCTGAAGAGAGCCACGAGCAGCAGGCGTTCCAACAGGAACAACCATTCCAATCAGTACCTGATGAGTTCATGTTTGGCACTGAGCCATACACATCTCAGTCATCGAGTGAAACCCCGGGCCAACATGCGTCTCAACCAGACGATTCCTTCACGGATTTGGTGTCAGTTGGGCTATTTGAGCAACAACCATCGCCAGAACTGATCATGTTTTTGTGAGTAGTTGTCCAAAACTTCTATGAGTGGACTGACCAGAAATAGAACAAATGTTTACTTCGACAAGTGGTATTTCGCAGCACCAATGTTTCAACGAGCTCGTTACTCAATGTCGTTGCATTTGCCGCCTCACATGCGCCCACCCATGTGCCTCCAATACATCGTCATGGCTCTCGGAGCCGACATCACCAAAACACATCGTAAGCTAGCGATTCCATTTTACCAACGAGCCAGGGCCTACATGCAAGCCGATGAAATGAGAGTACGTCCTGATGCCCGCCTTAAGTCCAAAGATAAACCGCTGAAAGCCAGCCATAGGGAGACGGACAGCACTTCACATCGGTGACCCATGCACAAGCGTGGAGCTTGATCGCGAATTTTGAAGCTCAGCATCTCTTCTTTGCACAGTCTTCAATGAGCCTTTGCAGAGCAATCAGAATTGCCCAAATGCTTGGCTTGCATCGTGTGGATGGGCCAAGTGTCGATGCGATACCCTTGCTCTCGGCGCCACGAGACTGGGTAGAAGCAGAAGAGCGACGGAGGACATGGTGGGTAATATACTGCTCTGATAGGCTGGTATGTGGCAGCACAGGCTGGCCGGCGATGATCAATGAGCATGATGTAAGTCTTTTCAAATATCCAGTGCAGCTTACTATGCTTCTCTTAACTCCCTTACTGATACTCTGAAAGATCCACACTCGCCTTCCTGCTTCCGACAAAGCCTTTGAAGCAGGCCTAGAAGAACCCACGAGCCCTCTTACAAGCATTCTGAACCAAGAAGGACAAACCTTTTCTTCGTTTGCAGGAAGAGTCCTGGCTTCTTCATTGTTCTATCAAGCATTCCAACAGTCCTCCCAGAACATTCCAGTTGAAGAGGCACAGAACTTCAAAACGAGTTTGCACTGGAAGCGCCATCGCGAAATCGATAACGACCTTGCTTCTCTCCTCAATTGTCTTCCAGATGATCTCAAACTACCCAACAGTATACGTTGTCAGAACGCGACCTTCGTCAATATCATCATTCACACTTCCATTATCCTTCTTCACAGAGCAGCGCTGTCAACAATCGAACGGACTGGGACACCTCACCACATGATTCGACAATGCCGAGCCAGGCTTGTTGCTGCGGCCGAAGAGATTCTGAATATTTTGAGAATGATGCCAGATGTCAACGACATGCTAAAGAACCCAATGTTGACCTTTTCCATGTACATGGCGTCATTGGTATTTCTCGATCAACCCACGTCGACAGAGCCAGACTACCAGCGGCAGGAGAATCTTGACTTCACACTTCGACTCATGATTCTAGCCGCTAAGACGTGGGGCAATCCAGTGACAAGATCCATGGCCATTCAGTTAGCCGTAGACATGAGGCAAAAAGGCCTAGATTCCGCAGCAGTGGAAAAGGTTAGACAACCCTTTATTTATTATCAGAGATTTGTTCTAATCCTCTTGTAGGCTACTGAGCTGCCCCTGGAGAGAAGCACGGTACCGATCCTTGCTAAAGGCGACAATGACTCGTCCAACTTTTTGTTCCAACTCAACAACTTTGAGAACTCCCCGGAACCTACTGCGGACGCTTGAAAATTGCAAAGGACAATCAGAAACAGAGCTTGGCCAGAGACTAGACCAAAGCACAACTAGAAGGCCAAATATACCCTGTTCATTTCATATTTCTCCGGAACTATGTACCAACGAAAATAACTAATCTGGCATCATCATGAAAACTGAGACGTCCTAATCTAACCAATCACAGACCCTCCGTTATTTCTTGTCTGTTTTGGACATGTGTAATACCTAAATAAAACGCAGCTGCTTCCAAAGCACCCACTTTTAAGCCACCCGTGCTGTAAGTCTCTTCCAAGCGGAAACTTTCTTGTTTCTCGATCCAGTCATTTCTGATGCTTCAACGGCTTCGACTCGGTTCTGACGGCCGACTACAGCCTGATATTGGCCAATGACAGTGTCAACTGTCTGATAAGGGTCCCATGGTCGGTTGATGGGCTCAACAAGAATGTCTGCCATCAAGTACTTGCAGGCATCCGCTACTATGGGCTCGATGGATACTCGCACCCTGTGATATTGCAGCTCGACATCGTTGCCCGCTTGTGATGGCTTGAAGACCTTTTGAAGCGATTCAAAGTCGATCGCTTCTTCCTCACTCAAACCTTTCTCCGCTGACCTGGTGCATTCTTCCTAGCGTAGCACCCCGTTCAAGCCTAATTAATTAATTAATTAATTAACTAATTAAATTAGAGGCTTTTTGCTATTCAAATAGATAAACTTATAGCACTAAAAACTTAGTTAACTTAATTAAGCTAATATTACTTAGAATAATAAAAATCTAACCTCTAGACTAATTAGGATTTTTAAAAGATTTTTTAAAAAAATAAAAAAAAGCCTACTTAGATATTTTAGTACCTAGCCTTATTCTAATTACTTAAGGTTATAACCTTTATAACTTTTATACTTAAAATAAATAACTTAAGCTAGTTTTAAATTAATATTTCTATAATTACCTATATAGTAAACTTACTATTAACTTATTAGGTTTTATTATAATATATCTCTAAAAAAAAAAAGGTTAAGTAGTTATTAATACTAGTTTAGTAATATCTTTAGACTAATAAGTAGTAGAGTAGGGCTAAGTACTTCTTAATAATAGGGTTAGTACTATTAAGAACTATTAGAAGTATTAGAAATATATTTTTTACTTTATTACTAAATTAATATATTTCTAGCCCTTTTACTAGAGGTTAAAAAAAGCCTGTTTTTAACCTTTATATTAGTCTTTAAAAATAACCTTTTTTTAATATTATTACTAGTACTATTAGTACTATTATTATTATTATTATTACTATACCTCTATACCTTAAAAACCTATTTATATATATCTCTTAATATCTTTTTTAACCTTTTACTAGTTACTATAATACCTCTACTAACCTATAATTAATATATTAATTACTTTATTAATTATAAGCTATTAACTCTTTATAAGATTACTATTTAGATTTATATATTATCTACTACTACTAGTAATATATTAACTATTAACTTAGCTATATATAATACTCTTAAAGCCCTACCTTATATTATATAGAGGGACTAGTAGTTTATTAATATTAACGCTATTATAAAGAAGGGTTTTTAAAGCTATACTTCTTAGATTATAAATAAGGGTACCTTTATCTATAAAATCTTTATTAATAGTGAGAAGAGTAGTACCTATTAGGTTTACTAATACTATAATAAGGTAAAGACTCTTAATAAGCTATATAACACTAACGCTATAACTACTACTACTTAATATCTTAAGAATAAATATAATATTACAACCTATAAGTAAGGATAACAGTTAGTCGACCTACCTTAGGCGTCGGGCGGCTAGGACAGGACATTTATACTACAGGACCACGGGAACAGCAGGAACTCACTCAGAAATAGAAGAACTATAGTATAAGTCACATAATAATAAGATAAGACTAAGTAGGTAGTATAGATTACTAAGTACTTAGTAAGAGTTACTAAGTGCTTACTAATAATTACTAAGCGCTCACTAGTACCTAGTTAGGAATTAGTAGCTAAATAAAGGAACTATTTAAGATTTATATATAGTATAACCTTAAGCCTAGCTTATAGTTAGACTTCTATAGCTCTTTAGTAATTAACTTAGTATTTATCCTTATAGATACTCTTAGCTTACTTTTACTGCGAATTACTTATTAAGTCTAAGACTAATTACCTTAGCCTCTAAAGACTTGATCTACTATTAGCCTATAACCTATAACCTAGACTATAACCCTAATATACTGTTATAACGTGTTAATCCCCAGCTTCTATTAGTAGACCCTACTATCAGATAGCTAACTGTAATATATAAAGTCTTCTAAGGTTACCTAGAGGGTAGTAATATATCTCCTAATAAAGCTAATAACTTTAGGCCTCTATTTAAGTACTACTAATCTATTCTTATTACTATACTTAAGAAGAAGACTACTTAGATTAAAGAGTTAGTTATAGGTTTCCTTATTAATATTAGTAACCTTCTTATAATATTTAGTAATTAATATATATAGTATATACTTACTATATTTAATTATAATATTAATACTTAGATATATTAGTTAAAAACTAATTAGAAGGATTAACTTTAATAACTTTATACCTTTAAGAAGTAATAGATTAAAGAGGAGATATAAAAAGCTCTTATAAAGGTTTATATATCATTTAACTTATAGACCTTACTTAATTAATATACTATTATTACTATCTTTAACTACTTATACTAGTGAGAATATTACTACTATAATATATATAGTTATAAGAGATTAATACTTACTTAATAAGATTAGTGTTATAATCTCTAATAATATTAGTACTAATAGCACTTATGTTAAGGCTCTATATCTATCTATTTTATAATTATATATAGAAATAGATACTTAGTATTATTAAATTTAATATTATAGCTATATCCTTAACTTTATTAGTTATACTATTATTTATAAAGTTAATAAGGAGGTATTTAAGTAAAAGTCTAACTATCTTATTAATACTAATAGGATCTAAGAAGACTTAGCTTATTAGAGGACTAAGGGACCTATTAATAAACTTTAGAATATTATTAAATATATTAGATTATTACTATAATACTTAAAAGCCTTCTTATCTATTAGTAATAAGGCTAATAATAATAAATATACCTTTACTCTATAGGAGAAGTTATTATAAAAGCTAAATCTAATATTAAGTAATACTATTTAATAGAACTTAATATATAATATAATCTACTATACTCTACTTAAATATAGCTAGATTATTAACTATATATATTACTCCTTAGGTCTTAAGAATAAGGATAATTATATCTCTAATAAGGATATCCTAATTAATAAAGATTAATAAGTCCTTATTAAATTAAATAAAATACTTAAGTCTCTCTATTTATAGACTAAGTAATATAAAAGCTAGGGTAAGAGTAATAAATATAGTTAACTCTAGGAGATTTTAGTAAGCTTTAAGTATTTCTTAGATTAACTTAAGGATTAGTATAAGTTTTATAATATCCTTATTATAGAAGAGATTAACTTTATAGTTATATAAGTATCTTAAAATCTCTTATTATAGTAATCTTAATTAATAAGGGTATTATATTAATCTAGCTAAATATTAATCTTATAAACCCTATTAATTAATAGTATCTCTACTTATTTATAGTCTAAATATATTACTATATTATTATACCCCCTTTAAGTTACTAATTTTAACTTTTATATATTTATATACCTATTAATTATTAATAGCTAATAAGTACTTAATAACTACTATAAAAAGCTTAAAAAATCTCCCCTCTATATTACTACTATAATATTATACCTTAATAGAGGTTTATAATAGTTTAAAAAGTATTAAAATACTTAAGAGACTTATAAGTAGCTTTATACTACTAAAGAAGGTTTTTAAGAGTATTAAGAGTAGTAATATACTAAGATAACTACTTATACTAATAAATAAACTTATCTAAAACCTCTATAAAAGTTATTTATATTAATTATAATACCTCTAAAACCTAAAAATTCTAATTATAATTAATAGTTAGATAGTAGCTTTTATAATACTACTATTAATAAAATTAATAAATTAGAGAAGTATTTTAACTTTATAGTTATTTAACCTATTAATAATCCTATTTAATAGTAGATTTTATATTAATAAACCTTCTTAATACTTAATAAGTTAGCCCTTAATATCTTTACTATCTTAGTAATAATAACTAATTATAAGAAGGTATTTAGCTTTACTAAACTAATATTAATATTATAGAAATTATTAATAAACCTATTATTATTTAAGGAGATATAGTACTTTTAGAACTAAGTTTAAGGTAGTAGTATTACTATTAGTAAGTATTACTTTAAGTAGAAAGGTTAATAGGGGGTAGGATAATATTATAATATTAGATAAATATATTTCTAATATATTAAGATATTATAAGAGCTTTACTAACTTCCTAAATTAGTAATATTAGTTAAATTAAATTAAGTCTATTAAGTTAAGTAAGCTTTTAGTGAAAATCTAGTTAAATAGTTAAGCCTAACCCCTAGGCTTGACTTGTTTAATTGGTATGCAGCGCTGATTCTTCCCGAGGAGGCAATTCTTGTGCATGAATGCCAACCTTCCCACTATCGGCCGACCCAATCATGATTAAGAGCCTAAAGCCTTCAAATTGGGAGATTGAGAAAACAACTGCACCCGCAAGCTGGCCTCTCGTCTTCGGACTTCGAAAAGCAATAGTCTGTCCGGTAGCAGTCCGAAGCCAGTCGGACCCGCGCGTCCTGCTAGACATGAGGGCCTTGGGTTTGTCCTTTTGATGCTCTTCCGAGGTGATGACTTCAATCAAGGTGTGGTCCGTGGTCGATGGGCCACAACGTAGTTGTAAGACGTGTTGAGGAAAAACGCCCTCTGAGCTGATGACGCCATTGAAATTCTGCCGGACGAAAATCGTCTGTCGTTTTCCCCTTTCCTGGATTAGTCGATCTCCCCGCTCCTGAACTTTGGCAAACTGATTCGCCCTTACCCTGGCGAACTGCTGATCACTTTGTGAGATACGCTTCAGATAGATCGCCAGGAAGCTTGAATCTTCAAAGTCTGGAGGAGCCGGGCAGTCTAAAGCAGCAGCAAACAGCTCCTCACCTCTCAGCGTCAAAGGTAAGTCGATACGCAAGCCCCGATTGGTCATACTGTATGGCGGACGAGGCTCCCAATCCTGGTATGGTACAATGGAGTTGGAGTACTCGAAGTTCCGGGGCGACTTGGCCAAGAGACCATGGTAAGTCTCAGTCGACGCCGAGAGATCGACCCACGCGAACAGCGATTGATCGTCGGACTGTTTCATAATCTCTTCCTGCAGGCGCAAAAACGCCTTGTCCCCCTCACCATAGAGCATTGGCATGTTGACCCCAAAAAGACCCATCAAACAATACGCGACGTCCTCGGGCCTGGTGGTCTTGCGATGGGATGCCCAAGACATTCTTTTGGCTATACTCGCGGATTCAATCGGCTTCGTACCTTTGAGGATGTCTTCTTCAATGCCGGTGATTACCGAAAGCGGACGACTTAGCGTCAGCTTTTCGCCGATCTTGATCCAGTCGTCCGAGAAGAAAATTAGATCATCAGGGGCTAGGAGTTCTTGCAGCGTCCACCCTCGCGTAAACCATCGACATCCAGCGAAATCGCCGTCCGTTTTCGAAGTGTCAACCGTAGACGAGATGCCCGAAAGATATGCGTAGCACACTTCGGCCTTATCATACCAGTCGAACATGGAATTGATGGCCTCAGAAAGCTCTGCGCTGGAGCTTTTGTCAATGCAGCAAGAGTCAATCCAGACGTACTCAAACCCATCGGCAATCGTTTGGTGGCAGCTGTAGCGGATCTTCTCAAACGATTCTTTCCTCGCAGCTGTATGGCTCCTGATGTCGGCATAGACAACTTCATCAGACCCCCAAGTATGCGAAAGGATGGCATATCGTGGGATTCTGTCGGGAGTGAAGTCAACCAACTCAATGAGTGACCCTTCGGTGTTGATTGATGAAGCTTTGATTAAGCGCATCTTGCTGCTACATCGACGTGGTCGTTTGGGTAATTTCGAAGTACCGAATGACGGAGCGAATCGAATCTTGGCTTGAATTGGGAGGACAACTGTTCTTAAGATAGGTTATTTTTCTCTCGTCATATCCATATTCCGGGCCCAACGATGATTCAGTACGATCCGGTGATGTAGGTCTCTGGGAGTCCTACGTCCAGGGGCTGTGCTGACGTGGATTGCCAGAAGATTCAGAGGTTACAACAAGGCTGGGCAATCACAGAGACGCATTCGAACCCCTGCTACAGCAGTACAGAGGGAGGAAGAGGCGAAGCACACCTAAGCTATTACTACCCGAGCTTCGGGCAAATAGCGACCAACCATGTGCCCATGCATGGCTAAACGATGGGGCGTTTTTTGGTTGTAGCAGTTCTAATCTTGGCGACACTCACCTTCAGCAGTAACCCCTTCTCGTGTCTGAGACCTGCCTGTAAGGCTGTGCCGCAAGGCATTTCGCAGTGCAATGCAAATCATTCCTTTCTAGGGGCCAATGATAGCCTGCCCGAATGACTTCTCGATGGTACGGTTCTGCCTAGAGTGATACACGTAAATCTTACAGCGCCCCATTCAGCTTTTGTGGGTGCAAAACAATGAGACTAAAATCTCTTGCATTTGTATTTATTATATTCACGTCCCGACTGCTTTTCCGCTCATCTATACCCGGGCAACTCTTCTTTCGTTCTTGTTGAACACAGTGTGAAGCAACCGTTGGCAAGCCATAACTCGCCCACAAGAAGTCGCCATGTCACAACCTCACACATTCGATTCATCCTACACCGGGGTACAGCATCCTGCGGTAGCTCATGACAGGGAGTCAGTAGCAACCACGATGCAGGGTACAGGTCCAGCCCCAGCCAAGGAAATGCCGACCAGCCTGATCAACACCGAGTAAGCATCTTCTTTATCTGTATCTCAGACGACGATGGAAACCCAGGATGTGTACTGACCTTCGCTAGCGAGCCGACATCCACCCCATGGGCAGGTCAAAAGCACGATGGACCGACCATCGAGGCCCTCCCCCCTCCGCCAACCGTAACGCCACTGCATGCCCTCGGTGACACTCCGCAACCGATCGATTGTCCGTTTTGCAAGAAGAGAACACAGACCACTATCACTAAAGAGGGTACCTCGATGCAAATGTAAGTGCTAATCTACATTCACTGACCGTGAGACCTCACGGGAATTCGGGACTGACAAGACATATCAGGGTTGCGGGTGTCCTCTGCTGCCTCCTCTGCGTCTGCCTTACCTGCGTACCCTGTATCGCTGGGTGGTGTGAGGACGTTCACTATGCCTGCTCCAGCTGCCACAAAAGGGTTGCAACACGGCCGTATAATGGCACGATTCAGACGTTCGGTCCACAATCCTACGCTCCAATGCCGTCTCAGTACGCTTCAACGGCACCACCTGTGGCTGAGAAACAAGCACAGTAGACGGGGATAGTCACGAAGGAGCTTGGGATGTCTCCTCTGGTATAGGTGAACATTATTGGAGTAATACGGCGAACGTAAACGATACCACTGAGAAAGCAATCTGGACTTCTGCTGTTATTTGTATTTGGTATGACCATGGTACTAAGAATAAATGCTGTCCGCTCTTGTACCGCACTATTTTTCAGTCCTCCGCTGTTGTGTGCTCCATTTTGCTAAACGGGGAATGATGTCTTTCCATAGAGATCTCTCTATGACCACTCACATACTTTTCAGTCACGATCATGCGGCAGTCAGCAAGATGTGCCCGCAGGCGATAAGCTGTCATACCTAACTGAAGCATGAATGAAAGAAAGAATACTGTCTGCCTCAGAGGCGAAGCTGCAATCTAGTCTACAGAATGAACCGCAATAAACATGACCGCCTGTTGCTGAGCAGCAAAGTCCTCCGGTGTACAAGTAATTGATTTACCCGGGCGTCTAGTGCACGTCTGGGACGAGAAGCAATTGTTTGATAAGGAGTTTTCGTATACTCCGTCCGCGCCAAGTACAGTTAATTCATGATCCCATAATCTACTTTCTCATTGCTCCAGTCTCTCAAAGCTGAAGATGATCGATGGAAAGAATCATGCCCACTTTTCACTCAGGTGCATGGGCAAGACGAGATCTAGAGCGGGGGAAAGGGGCGGTGAAGTTGAGGATGTCTCAATCTTTAATCAAGCATAGGTATTTCAAGGATATGCCAAGCCGGTCAGCATTGGCGCCAAACATTCCAACACAAGTCCCTGGGAAGGACCGTTCACAAAGATATGGGCGCCGGGATTTCAGCACTGCGACTGACTGAGTTGCCTCCATTCCCTGTCCGTCCTTCTCGATCCAAGGTTCCACTTCAGCTTTCAGCCACCTCACAATTCGAGCCCTCCAGCATTCCTGCAGCTTATGAAGACGGGCCACATCAAGGACTTGCTAATTGCACGGCGCCTCTTGGCATATAAACTTGACATGTCGAATTTCGTGCAAAGTCTTGTTTCAGGTCTTGAACAGTCATTCCGATAGACATATACCCACACAAAACGCAGCACTTTCCCAACTCAAGGAAGTCATTTGGCCACAGGCTTCCACTTTTCGCTACGCACAGCCACTGTGTCCGACATCATGTCCGCTCTCTTCGCGGTTGTTGCCTCCGCTCCCGGATTTGCAGCCGACTGCTCTGCTGCGACAGCGACCGTTACCCTTCCCGCAATCACGACAACCCTCAGTTCTACAGTGACAACGACGATTACTCTTCCAGCAGTCACGACGGCCCTCAACTCCCTTGTCACAACCACCATCACTTCCCCAGTCACGGTCAGCGGCTCCTGTCCCGCAGTCCCGCCCATCACAATCCAACAAACAGTTACTGTCGACAACGGGTGCCCATCGCAGCGTTAATCGGGCTGTAATCAACGATTACGTAAGGTGCCGACCTCTGCGATCAACGCTGCGATCGCGGCCACTGCCTCTAACGCAGTTAACCTATCCTTCGCATCACCATCATACGCAGTTAATACACACGATATTTGCTGCTCACAGCGCCCTACCAGCTAGCTGGTCCTGTGAGACCAACAGTCACGGCGACACCTAGCTCCACCTGCCCTGCTGCGATCCCGACCATTTCCAGCGTCTCGTGCAACTCCTTCACACAACGCCGCTCATACTTCATCTACTACTCAGGCACCGGCGTGTCGCCTAGGAAGAGAAATTCCTATGTTAGTGTGAGATTCTTCCGCGGCGATCTGGGCCCTTGTTCAGCTCTCTAGGGATGCGCTGCTGCCATGGAGTATACCTCTTACAATTCCTTCTATTTGGTCTACCGACCCGCTTCATTTGGCAACTACGAATGCCTCGGTATTTCCGATGCTCAGTTTGACCCGGTCTTGTTCTCCGTCTCGGATACGAATGCCGGCGCAGTCTATGCGTATACTGTTGGAGATGGACCGTGAATTACTGGACGCACTTTCACGTAGTCTTCGCATTGTAGAGCTGGGGACGAGAGGCATGAGGTCGGCTAGTATGATGGGGCTGCTGTCCACTGAGCCATGGCTCCTGACGTGGGATTCGCCGAAGCAAATAGCCATCTGTGGACGAGCTCGCATAGACATTCTCGAATCCGCATATTGATGTTCATGTTTGTATGACTGCGCATTATTTGCTGTCAACTGGAACGCGTCGTCCCTCGATCATACGTTTCTGAGTAGTCCGAACACAGACCAACATCACACGTTCAAATTCCATGTTGTCAAGTCATGTCGAAACTTCAAAGCGAAGGTCAAAGCCGAGTATGTTGAAGACAATCTATCACCTCAACTAACTAGAACGATCTTTCCTACAGTCAGCGTGTATTATATACGCTTCATCTTTCGCATCATTGTGTTAGAGCATACTCTGCTACCAATGTGGCATTTTCCTGCCAAAACGTCCTCGCGTATTACTGTAATATATCATATTCCGTCACTTGCAAAAGCAATATGTGCAAAAGATGCGACAACATCGTATGTCCAACTATAATTGCTATTCTGAGTCTGAGTTTGTTTTTCCTAACCATAATGATGAAGATGATGTTGATAATGAACTCTAAGTTATTGGCTAGTTGTAGAGCCTTTTGACAGAGTCTGTGACTTGATGCAAGCCCTTGAGAGCGACGCAAAATCGACGTAAACAACCTCATGTACTACCTCCTTTATCCCTTACCCATCCCCGGATGTAAACAGCGAATACCATAGGGCTCTTCTTTTAATCACAAGAGTAGACAGAACCAGGGCACTGAATTATACCAACCCACGTTGGACTTACACCCCAAAGGCCAATGAAAAACGTACCTCAAAATACTACTAAAAAACAAAGACAGCGGATTATTGGACTTGGCGATTCCATAAGCAAAACCTATCTCGCATGAATAATATTATTAACGACTGTATTACAAACATATATAAGTAAGTAGAAGTCCGTCCACATGAGCCGATGTCGTCATGACTCTACCAAAGCAATCTCTGAAAAGTGGGAGATCTCAGTGCAGCACGATATCATAGAAACGTTGGTCTGTTCCAGAAAAACGTGAAAACCATGGAAGAATGCAATTTCCTATTTGCAGTAGTCCTTCAATTGACGGTCTGGTCACTGGTGTAGACGTCCTTTTGAAAAGAATATTCCCTGGAATCAACCTCGGATTAAGACCAAAGACAGAAACAATGTTGTATGCTGACAGGCGCTTGATGAATGATCTCAGAGTACCTGAATCCCCAGAATCAAATCTTAAACCGCCTGGAGTAAAGAGAAGGCTTGTTGGTAGAACCTCATTGGCGTTCTTCAACATTTCCTGACCCAGAGGTCACGTATAATATGTGTTTTTGGCATGTCCCACAGAGCATGGACGCCTCCTGGCCCACGCACAAGCATCGTTGGCTGTCTCCAGTATTAGCAAAAGAAACACTTGGCTGTACTAGAGTATAAGTTGATTTATGTGCAGATGAGAGGAAGTTTCAGGCGCCAAGAATGATGG